CGAGCGCGAGGTCGTCGTCGAAGCCGCCCCCGAGGCCCCCCGGCGGCGCGCCGAGGCCCCCCGGCGGCGCGCCGAGGCCGAGGCTCCGGAGGCCGCCCGGCGGCGCGCCGAGGCCGCCCGGCGGCGCGCCGAGGCCGAGGCTCCGCTGGGGCGGCGGCGCCGGCGCCGCGAGGCCCGGCGCGGGCGACGGCGGCAGCGCCGCGGGGTCGAAGCCCGGCGGCGACGCGGCCGGCGGCGGCGGCGGCGGCGGCGGCGGCGCGTACGCGGGCTCCGGCGGCGGCGCGGGCTCGGCCGGCGGCGCCGGCGGCGGCGCGCGCGCGCGCGCGCCGTCGCGCCAGGGCCGCGGCGGCGGCCGCGCGTGGGGCGCGGACTCGTCCTGCCAGCCCGGGAGCACCGCGGCCGCGGCGTCGTCGAGGACGCGGAGGGCCGCGTCGCCCGTCGCCGCGTCGATGGCCACGCGCCAGCGCGGCCGGCCGCCGCCGGCGGCGGCGCCCGCGGCGTCGACGTCGAGGACGAGCTCGACGCGCGCGCCCAGGGGCGGCAGGGACCGCGGCGCGAGCCACGCCTCGTGGCAGTAGACGTGGCGGTCCAAGTCGCCGAGCGCGATCCACGCGTCGCGGCCGCCGATGGACCGGTTCCGCGACGGCGCGACGGCCGTGAGGACGCCGGCGACCGTGGACCCGCGGCGCCGCTCCGCGCCGGCGAGGAACGCGCGCTGCTCGCCGGCGAACTGAGCGTCCTCGCGGAGCCACGCGCCGTCGCGCGCGACCCAGAGCGCGCCGTCGCGGTGGTGCGGCGTGCTGTGGAGCGCCGCGCGGAAGACGACGCGCTCGTGGAGCCGCGGCAGCGTCGGGCTCAGCTGCGAGCTCAGGTAGCACTCGAGCTCGCCCTCGGCGCCGTCGACGGCGATCCACACCCCTCTCCCCGTCGTCGCGCGCTTGCTCACGGCGCCCGCGACGAGCTGGCCGTCCTCGACCTTGCGCCCGCTCCCCGGGGCGCCGCCCCGGCCGCTGGACGCGTAGCGCGTCTCGAGCCACTCCTTGGGCGTCTGGCCCTCGACGTCGTCGGCGGGGCCGCCGGGCCGGTCCGGGCGGGCCGGCGGCGCGGGCCGCGGCGCGGGCGGCGGCGCGTTCTTCGCCGGCGGCGGCGCCACCTTCTTCCCGGCGGGCGCCTTCTTCGCCACCGTCGTCCACTCGGCCATCACGTCACGCGCGAGCGAGCACGCAACGCTTTCACGCGGCTCGACCGTCCCGGCCGTGTCGGCGAGGACTCGAAGCCTCGAAGCGAGGTGTTGAGGTCAACAAGGTCAACATGCAGAGTTGCCCGCCTCCGGATCCCGGCCCACTTGCGGCCGCCTCGCGATCGAGACGTCGATCGAACTTCGATCGAGGGATCGATCGAGCTGTGCTTGCCGTGATGATGCACCTAGGGGTGGGGCCCGCCCCCAGCTTACCCGCCCTCGTTCGAGTTCGGCGGGAAAGGAAGACGGGGGCGCCCTCAGAGCTCGGACTTCTTGGCCTTCTTGTTCTTCTTGCCCGCGGCGCCGAGGTCGTAGACGACCCAGCGGCGGAGGTACTCCTCGTCGCTCTGGCGCGCGACGCCGTCGCAGCCCGCGTCGGCGCAGCCGCAGTAGAAGTCGCCGGAGTCGGCGCAGGGCCTCCCGCAGCCCGGCGAGTCCGGCGGGAGCGTCGCGCCCGTGGGCTTGTCGTCGAAGACGAAGGAGTGGCCGTCGTCGCCGACCTTGGCGAGCGCGACGTAGCGCTTCTTCTCGGCCATGGCGAGGTTCACGGCCGCGGAGATGGACGCGCCCGTGTCGCCGCCGCCGTAGACCTTGTCCGCGGGGAGCTGCGACTCGAGGCGGTAGCAGCCGACGTGCGCGAGGGACGTGGGCTTGGCGCCGTCGCGCGGCGGCGGCGGCCCCGCGGGCTGCGACTTGTCGCCGGCCATGCGCTTGTGGTACTCCTCGTTGTACTTCTGCTCCTCGGCGGACATGGCGCCCGTGTTGAAGTCCTCGAGCTGGCGGAAGGGCTTCCGCTTGTCGATGAGCCACTTGATCGCCGGCGGGTACTGGCCCGGGCAGTACCAGGAGCCCGGCGCGTCGCAGAGGAGGTTCGTCGCGTTCTTGACCCAGTTCTTGGACTTCTGGGACACCTTCTTGATCTTGAAGATGCGGACCTTGCCGTACTTGGTCGTGTACGCGGGCTCCCAGCGGCTCGTGTTGAGGTACGTGCCCTGGCCGCCGCGGCCGTCGCCGCCGTAGGTCGTCAGCTTGTAGAGCAGCGACTTGGCCATGGACGGCGTCGGCCGGCCGCCCTGGTAGAAGCCGAAGTGCTGGCACGTCGGGTCGTTCGGGCAGAAGTCGTGGTAGATCGAGTTGCCGATGCGCGCCATGTGGGGCGACTTGGCCAAATCGTCGCCGCCGCCGCCGGCCCAGACGAGGACGTAGTCGGCGAGGTGCTTGGCGATCTTGTGGGCCTCGGCCTCGGGCGCCGTGAGGATGCGGCCGAGCGTCGCGATGTGCTCGTGGTTCCACGTGTTGCCGTCCGCGAGCGTCGTCCGCTCGCCGATGCCCGTGATCTGGTAGCCGTAGTCCCACCAGGCCAGGATGCGCGCGTCCTTGGGCGTGTTGTCCCGGAGCCACCAGTAGGCCTCGCGGTAGTCGTCGACGATGATCTCCTCGCCGGACCGGAGCCGCGCCTTGAACATGATCGACGGCTGGCTCAGGCCCTCGCTGAGCTCCTCGCAGTAGGCCTGGAACTCGCGGGCCATGGGCAGCGCGTAGGTCTTGGCGGCGTAGGCCAGCGCGGCCGCGCGGATCAGGCAGATCGCCGGGTGGCGGTACGCGGTTCGCGCCGCGCCCGCGGCCCGCCGCGCGGCCGCGGCCATGCGCGCCGTCGGCTTCCGCGCCGCGCGCTTCGCCTTCTTGTCCTTGGGGTCCGCGGGCTCCGCCGGGGCCGCCGGGGCCTCCGCCGCGCCGAAGCACCGCTCGACGACCGCGTCGAGTGCGAAGACGAACCCGTGGTCCGCGGCCGCGCCCAGCGCGACGCCGCCCAGGGCCGCGGCGACGGGGCCCAGGAGGATGATGAGCCGCGCCATCTTGTTGGCGAAGAAGTAGGCCGCGGCGGCGTACACCCAGAGGAAGACGCCCGCGTCCGAGAAGCGGAGGAACGAGAGCCCGAGGCCGAAGGGCGCGAGCCTGTAGACGTGGTGCAGGTACTGCTCGTAGGCCTGCGTCGACGCCGGCTGGTGCTCGGCCACGGAGTCGACGAGCGGGTTGCCCGTGCGCGTGTGCTTGACGAAGAGGCCGCGGACGCGCGACGACAGGGGCCCGAAGTAGCCCCGCGGGTACAGCACCGCGCCCGCGGCGCCCAGGAGCAGGGCGAGGACGATGCCCGCCTTGATCAGGGCCAACAGGAAGCCGCCGGGCCCCAGGCCCCGGGCCCGGCGCTCGCCGTCGGCCCAGCCGTAGAACTGGAGCCCGACGAAGACGAGCAAAGGCGGCAGGAGCTCGAGGTCCCGCATGGGCCGCCAGCCGACGACGGGCACCTGGACCGCGCCTGCCGTGCCGATGAAGAAGAAGAGGCTGTAGGCCACGCGCAGCTTCGCCGTGTAGCGCCCGCACGCGACGAGCACGAACGCGTGGAGCCCGACGATGTTCGCGACGAACGTGAAGCCGCCCCACGCGGCGACCATGTAGACGTAGGCGAGCCCCGCCAGCGCGCCAAAGGCCCAGGTCGCCGCCGTCGCGTCGCCGGCCGCCCGCGCGGCCGCGCTTCCGCGCCCCCGGGGCCCGCGGAGCGCGCGGCACCAGAGGTAGAACGTGCCGCACATCGCCGTGAGCGCGATGGACTCGTTGTCGTAGCCGCCGCCGACGGACCGCATGAGGTGCGCGGGCACGATGGCCATGATGAGGCCGGCGAAGCCCGACGCCGCGTACGAGTTCGTGCACTCGAGCGTGAGCAGCGCCAGAAACGTCGTCGCCGACCCGCCGAACCACGCGGGCACGAGGCAGCAGACGTCGTTGAGCGAGATGGGCGCCCGCCGCACGTGCTTCCACCACGTGAGCAGGCCCGCGGCCCGCGCCCGGCCGAGCAGGCGCCAGAGCCCGACGGCCGTCATCTGCATGCCCGGGTAGATCGTCGTGCCCACGGGCCGGCCGAGCGGGTACCACGACAGGCGGTCGAACCAGTGGAAGAACTCGTAGAGCCCGTGGTCCGCGAGGTACGTCGTCGCGCGCATGTTGAACCAGGGGTCGAACTCGTGGATCACGTAGCCGTAGGCGTGGATCGCCTTGAGGCGGATGGCGTAGGCGAGGCTCACGGCATAGGCGACCGTCGCGACCCACGCCGCCCACTTGGCGAAGGACAGCAGCTTCAGCGGCAGCGACATCGTCGCCGGCGGCGCGCGGATGGGCGCGACGCTCGCGCGGCTCGTCGCAGCCGACAGCGACGGACGCGTGGATGGTGTGGCTCGATGTCGAGGCCGATGAGGTAGATTTTCGGCGATCTTGCACACGACATCGACGCGATGGTTCGCTTTGTTGCATCTCCTCTGCTGCTCCTGCCAATCGTCTCCGCGCTCAAAACATTGCCACGTATCGCGACGCCATCGTCGAGATCGCTCGCGGCCGCCGCCACGGCGACGAAATCGCTGACGCCGCTCGCCGCCGCCGCCGGTACGTCGCTGGTCACCGATCGGCGCCGAGCCGGCGACGCGGAGGCGGACGCCGCCGAGGAACGGCTGTGCCAGGAAGCGCTGGTGCGCGCGCGCGTGGCCAAGCGCTGCGTCGTGCCCGCCTACGCCGCCTCCGCGGCGCTCGCTCTCGTCGCGCCGGCGGCGCCGCTGCCGCAGCAGGCGCTCGCGGTCGGGTCCGCGCTGAGCGTCGTCCCCGCCATCTCGGCGGCCTACGACTGCGTCGGCGAGGGCGACGCCACCGTGCCGCTGCGCGTCGCCGTCGCCGCCGCGTGCCTGCTGTCCGCGGCCTGGCTCGAGGCCGCGCCGCTGCTCAGCGGCGGCGCCGCGGCGTACGCGCCCTGGGCGCGCGCGGCGGGCGTCGGCGCCTTTGCGTACGGCGCGCTGGCCGTGCTGCCGCTCCGGCGGCCCGCGCCCGGCGGCTGGGAGCTGCGGCCGCGCGTCGACGCCCAGTGGGCGGCGCTCGCCGTCGGCCTCGCGGCCTGCGGCGCGCTCGCGGTCCTCGCGCCGCTGCCCCTGGCGGCGGCGCCCGCGGGCGTCACGGCGGCCTTCGCGCGCGCGCACGGGGTCTGGGTCCTGGCCGCGGCCTTCGCCGCGGCCCAGGTCGCGCGCGGGCCGACGCGGCGGCTCCGCAACGGCCTCTACGCCGCCGCGGCGGCGCAGCTGGTCTTCGCGCTCGCGCGGCTCGCCTTCGAGCGCGGGCCGCTCCAGGTCGCGGCCCTCGCGGTCTACGCGCTCCTCTGCATCAAGGCATGATCGTAAAACTCACGGCGCCTTAAATCGCGCGTGGCTGCTCTGGAGCGACGCGACGGCGACGACGGTGAGCGGCACGCGCAGGCTCAGGTAGCTGCGCGGCACGAGCGCCGCGCGCCAGCACTGGAGATCCACGGCCATGGCCGCGGCGAGCCCGGCGCTCAGCGCGTCGAGCGACAGCGGCGCGGGCGTCGACGCGCAGGGCCACGCGAGGAGCGACGGCGTGACGCCCCAGACGAGGCGGAACGCGTTGGCGCGCGGCGACGCCGGCGGCGACCCGCCGAGCGCGAAGCCCCAGTGCGGCGCGCCGAGGAACGAGAGGATCATGCAGCCGTACGTGACCTGCAGCTCCGTCGCGTTGAGCGACGGCCGGCCCAGGAGTTGGCGCAGCGGGCCCAGTCGGTCGTCGACGTCGAGTTGCGCCGCGCCCGGCTTCGAGAGCGCGCAAAACGGGATGAGGCCGCCGGCGCCGAGCGCGGCGACGAGCGGCGACGGGAAGAGGCTCATTGTGCAGCGCTGCAACGTCGCACGTGCTGCCACCAGCAGACCTGCCGAGCACCAGCACCGGGGCCGGAGAGCGGCAGCGTCTCGGCAGCATCGATGCAAGGTTGGCTCGCCCCCAGGGCTGCGTGTAATCATGGTGTTTTGGACCGCCTTCCTGCTGGCGCAAGCCACGACCCGCCCCCTGGGGCTGCGCGTAATCATGGTGTGTTGGACCGCCTTCCTGCTGGCGCAAGCCACGACCGCCGAGACGCTCGGCGACATCGTGTACGGCAAGGTGCGCGCCGCGCCGGTGAAGTCGGGCGAGCTGCTCGGACCCTCGGGCCGAGCTATCTGCTCGAAGCGGCGGCGCCTCGAGGAGCCAGCGCGCAACACCTCCTGCGGCGCCGCGCCGCGCCCGAAGGTCGCCATCTGCGTCGCCGGCAACGCGCGGACCTTCGCGAACCCGGCGGTCCACGAGACGCTCAAGCGGAACCTCGCGGAGGCCTTTGGCGGCGACGCGTCGTTCTTCCTGCGGTTGAAGGCCCAGGACCGCGGCTGGAAGGTGCGTTGCCCCGGTGCGATTCTTCGAGGAAAGTCCAGTTGCACAGGGCGGCTCGGCCCGGGAGAACGCGGGCGACACGAGCCGCGTGCCGACGGACGACGTCGGCACGCTCGCGACGGCGGCGCGGAATCTGTGCGGGCCGCGGTCGGACGTCGCCGTCGCGGAGGTCGTCGTGGGCGAGGAGCGCCACGACGCGCCCGCGTGCCAGGTCAAGGCGGTCGAGATCCTCGCGGCGACGGGCGACGAGGCCTGGCGCGACGTCGAGTACCTGCAGAGCGGCGAGGCCGGCGCCCCGTCGACCACGCCTCGCGGACCCGCCGCGCGCAGGCATCGCGCAGATCCACGACGCGGCCTGGTGCGGCGAGAAGATGCGCGACCACGAACGCAGCCGCGGCGTCGCGTTCGACACGGTCTTCAAGGTGCGGCCGGACCTCTCCTTCGTCGACCCCATGCCCCCCTTCTGCAAGTGGAACCGGGGCGTCGCCTGCCTCGCGCGGGACTGGCTCTTCATGCTCCCGGGCGACACGGGGCCCGACGCGCTGCGGGCGGGCTTCGCCGCGTTCACCGTCTGCGACCACATGATGTGGCCCCGCATCCTCGAGGCGTGGAACAACCAGGGCATCGGCAAGGCGCTGCGCGGGGACCAGAAGAGCGCGCGGCCGCCGGCGACGTCGCACCCGGACGCGTGGGCCGCGAGGGTGCGCGTCGTGCGGCCGCCCGGCGTCATGGGCAACACGGACAGCGCCCTCGACCCGGCTAAGTGCATCTAGATGGTCCCAGCGCCCTCGACCCGGCTAACCCTGCTTGACGCGGAGCGCGCGGCCCCGGGAGAAGGTCTTGCCGGAGGGCGCGGCGGGCTGCGCCGCGGGCTCGGGCTCCGCGGCGCGCGGGCTCGCGGGCTTGAGCGCGCGGCCGCGGGCGAAGGTCCGGCCGCCGCCGGCGGGCTCGGGCTCCGCGGCGCGCGGGCTCGCGGGCTTGAGCGCGCGGCCGCGGGCGAAGGTCCGGCCGCCGCCGGCGGGCTCGGGCTCGGCGACGGGCGCGAGCGCGGCGGGCTCGAACGACGGCTCGCCGAGCACGCCCCGGGACGCGTCGGGCGTCGGCGACGGCTGCGGCAACGGCTGCGGCGACGCGCGCTCCGCGCCGCCGCCGTCGACGGACCGGGTCGAGCTCGCCTGCTTCTTGAGCCGCTTCCGGCGGACGCGGGCCCGGAGCCGGAGCATGCGCGCCGCGAACGCGAACATGGACTTGGACGCCCTGGCGCGGATCTCGGCGGCGAGGAGCCGCTTCTTGGTCTCGAACTCGACCTCGTCGTCCGTGAGGGCGACCGCGAGCACGGCGCCGCCGTCGACCTGGCTCGCGAGCGCCCGCTTCTGCTCGTCGTACGACTTTACGTCCGCGTCGAAGGCCGCCGTCCACGTCGCGACGGCCTCCTGCGCGTCGCTCCGTCGCGCCGTCGCGAAGCCGTGCGCCTCCGACGTTTCGAGGTCGAAGCCCACGACCCCCGTCGTCGCCGCCCGCGCCGCGCGCCGCGCGTAGGCCCGGGCCTCGGCCTCGAGCTCCGCGACGAGCGCGTCGCCCGCGTCCGTCCACGCCTTGCACGCGACGCGCGCCTGGGACCGCTTCCGGTCGATCTCCGCGTCCCACTCCGCCTGGAGCGACGTCGCCAGCCGCTTGGAGAAGTGGTGCTCGGCCTTGGCGGCGACCCAGGCCTGGGCCTTGGCCCGCTGCGCGTCGCACTCCCTCGTGTAGGCCTGCCAGACGTCCGCCAGCTTCGGGTCGGATTGGGCCTTCGCTTCCGCCGCGGCGATCCGATGCTCCGTCATGTAGTGGCGCTTGAGGAAGTTGTCCACGGAGAGCCCGCGGATGTTCCAGGATTTCGTCGGGGCCCGGCAGTTCGGCGGGTCCTCGGCCTCGTACTCGCGCGCGTCCGTCGAGTCCGACGCGGCGCCCCAGAGGGCCCCGTCGGCGACGACGGCCTCGAGGTCGTCGCAGCCCCAGTTCGCCAGGAACTCCTTGAAGGACGGCGTGCCCGGCTTCGCGGAGCCCGACCGGTACGCGGCGACGGTGCAGTGGTGCGACCCGCCGCCGCAGCGGAACGCGCCGGGCTCCCCCGGGACGAGGTACCAGGCGAAGTTCTGCGCGCAGCGGCTCACGTGCATGGCCGCGATGGCCGGGTGGAGCGGCGGCTTCGGGATGGCGCCCCCGGGCGGCGGCGCGACGGCCGCGGCGACGGTCCCGGCCGCGGCCTCGAGTGGAGGCGGCGGCGCGAGCTCGAGCCTCGGCGGGCAGGGCGGCGCCCGGGGCACGACGGGCCCGACGCCGAAGGCGTGGGACGCGCCGTCGCAGCGCCAGCGCGTCTTCGCGCAGTTCGCGCCCGCCTGCCACGGCGAGATGCCGCAGTAGCGCGCGCCGGCGACGTGCTTCCAGGAGCAGCAGAACGCGCGGCCCTCCCGGAAGCCGTGGTCGATCCACGCGCGCAGGCCCAGGGCCCGGGGCTCGCCGCGGCGGTCCGGCGCGACGAGGTCCAGGTCCCGCTCCACGGCCGTCGCGTCGGCCGTGGGGGCGACGCGCGCGTGCGTCCGCCGCCAGCCGCGCAGCGTGAGCGGCGCGCGGGGCCAGTGGCTCACGGGCGGGATCACGGGGCCCGTCCAGGACTGGGTCCCGGACACGGCGCCGCGCCACTCGCCCGCCGTCGCGACGTGCGTCTCCGATCCCTCCTTTTTTGGGAGCGTCGCGCCGTCGGGCACGCCCGCGTCGGCCCAGGGCGACTCGTGCGTGCTCTGCCCGCCGAGGACGACGAGCCGCGCCTCGAGCGCGAACATGAGCTCCTCGAGGCGCAGGCGCCGCGGGTGGCGGCCCAGGCGCCGGACGATGGCGCCCGCGAGCTTGGGGCCGAAGTCGAGGCCGAGCGCCCGGCGGAGCACGCCGCCCAGCGCGGCCGCGTCGACGCCCGGCGCGCCGGCGCCGTCCGCGGCGCGGAACTCGCGCAGCAGCGCGTGGCGCCGCGCGTGGGCCCGCGTCGCGACGACGGCGACGAGCAGGTTCGGCGACCGCGCGGCCTCGCAGAGCTCCGGCAGCCCCACGGCCTCGGCCTCGAGCGCGGCGACGGCCTCGGCGCCCTCGGCGCCGGCCTCGGCGAAGACCGACGCGAGCGTCTCCGGCTTCTGAGGGCCGTAGCGCTCGAGGAGCGCCAGCACGAAGAAGACGTCCTCGTCGGGCGCGCCCTCGAACCAGCGCCGCAGGCACCGCGACGCGCCGCTGGGCACCGTGGAGCGCTTCGGCTCGGGCGGCCGCGTGCGCTCCAGGTAGCCGCGCAGGGCGTCGTCGCCGTCGAGGAAGACCATCGAAGGGCAGCTGCGGCTGTTTCACCTCGGTCTCTAGCAAGCTTCAGAACCTCTGCGTAGCGCTGGGGCAGCCATCGTTGCGCACAACGACGGCATCATGAAGAGGAACGGCAAACAGCATCGCGGATCAATCGCGGCGGGAGCGTAGAGCTACAGCTCATCGAGTCCTGTCGTCGCCAAGCGGAGTCTACTTCTATCGAGGCCACCGTCGCCGCCGCTGCAGCGCGTGCGTCGCTGTCGTCGGAACCGCAGCGAGTGCCGCGGACCCTACCAGGCGCCGTCGGAATCGCAGCAGCTCGGCAGCTCGCGGTCGACGGCCATGGGCGGCATGCGCCCCGGCGAGGCGCCGTACCACGCGCCTTATTATGTGCCGTACCCGCCGCCGCCCGGCGCCTACGCGGCGCCAGCGCACGGGCCGGGCATGCCCTACTACGTGGCGAACCCCTATGCGCAACCCATGATGCCGGCGCCGGTCGTCTACGCGGGCGCCGGCGGGTACGCGCCGCACCCCATCGCGCTGCAGCCCGTCCGCGACTGCGGCGGCGACCCGGCCTACCCCTACAAGCGCGCGCGGCGCGCGCGGCGCCGCCGGCCGGCGCGGAACCGCGCCGGCGACCACCCGGCCGTCTACCGGCCGCCGGACGGCGCGGCGGACGGATCCGATCCGGAACCGGCGGACGCGCTCGCCGCGCTGTCGCTCGCGCCCTTCGTCGGCGGCGGCGCCCCCGCGCCGGCGGCGGGCGACGCGGTGCACCATCTCGACGCCGCCGGCGCCGCGGCGCGCGCGGCGGACGACCGGTCCCGGTCGCCGCCGCCGCCGCCGCCGCCGCCGCTCAAAGCGCGAGAGCGCACGGCGTCGGCCGTGTCCGCGGCGTCGAGCGAGCCGGCTCTCGAGCGGACGGCGGCCGCCGCGACGGCGACCATGTCCGACTACGAGCGCGAGTGGATCGCGGCCGCGCGCGGCGCGGGCGACGCGATCGCCGGCGAGGACCCGGACGCGCTCCGCGACTCGCTCCGCAAGGCCACCGAGGCGCGGCACACGGGCGTCGTGCGCTGGTACACGGAGAAGAAGCACTACGGCTTCATCGAGTCCAAGGGCGCCTCGGCGACGGACCTCTTCGTCCACTCGTCGGAGCTCGAGGAGCCGCTCCGCGCGGGCGACACGGTCTCCTTCGTCATCGGCGAGCGCCGGGGCCGCTCCGCGGCGACCAAGGTCGAGGTCGTCGAGCGCGCGCCCCTCCCGCCGCCGGCGCAATCGGCCCTCGACCCCTACCAGGCCGCGTACCTCCCGCCGCCGCCCGCGTACCCGCCGCCGCCCGTCGTCTGGGCGAATTGAGGCGCGCGCGCGAGCGCGGGGTCTTGCGAAGTCTTAGAAGTTCGCTTCTAGACGTCGAGTTCGCGGGCGCCGCGCCAGAACGTGAAGACGTGGATGAAGACGTCCTCGGGGATTTCGATGAAGACCTTCTCGTGCACGGCGACGCTCGACGGCGCGGTCGCGCGGCCCCCCGCGCGGAGCTCCGGAAGCGCCCGGCGGAGCGCGAGGAGCTCGGCGCGAGGGGCGGCGACGTACGGCGCCCAACCGCCCGCGGCATGGACGGCGCCGAGCAGGTTGGCCGCTACCTCACCGCCGACGTATTTGCGGGCCCGTGTCTCGGGGGTGTCCCCTTGTTGATTGACTACGTCCACCTCTGCGCCACGGCTCAGGAGCAGGCGTGTCATACGAGTGTGTCCGCGCTCGGCGGCACGGTGAAGGGCGGTGAATGAACCATTGGACTGAGCATTGACACGCGCGCCTCGGTCGAGTAGGAGCCGCGCAACGGCATAATTATTATTGAACGAGGCCGTTGCCAACGGCGATACTCGAGAATGAAACCCTCCGAGGTCCACGTCCGCTCCGCGAGCGAGCATCTCTCGAGTTAGAATCGTGTTTCCATACTGCGCCGCAAGCCTGAGGAGCGTGTGACCGTTCTGTCCTGTCACGACGGCGTTACCAATTGATTTGAAGCGCGCGTTCGCCGCGCCCGGGTTGTTGAAAAAGTACGAGCGCGAAAAGTCCAACCAAAATCGTGTTCGTCTCCCGCGACTAGAAGCATCCTCGACATCCTCCTCGAGTACTGGATCATCGTCCGAGTCGGTGTCCGAGTAGTTCATTTGTCAAAAGGAGAGCTGCTCGGCCAGGTCGGGGAAAGATGTTAATCAAACCAAGTGGCGGTAGGCGCGTCGGTGTGGGTCATCGAATGCGCGAGAGCGGCTAAATCAAAGCGCTGTTGCGGGTAACGACAGGCGCGCCGACAAAGGGAAGCAGGCTAAAAATCAGTGGCAAAAATTTTAATAATCGCTCGTCGCAAAATGGAGCGCCTCGCCGTCCTATGCGCCTGTGCGGTCGCCCTCGCGGCCGCCACCGTCGACGACTCGCGCCGCCTCGCCCTCGCGGCCGCCACCGGCGACGACTCGCGCCGCCTCGAGAGCGGCGGCACGCCCATCTACGACATGGCGCACCACACCTGGGGCTACGACGGCGTGAACATGCGGCGCGACTCGACCTTCCTCTCGTTTTTCGTCTTCCTCCTCATCGTGGCCCTCGTCGCCGGGTCGGGCGTTTCGCGGCGCTTCGCGTGGCTCCCCGAGGCCTGCGTCGTGTTGCTCGTCGGCGTCGTCGCGGGCCTGGTCTGCAAGGAGATCTACGACGCGCGGACGACGAAGCGCCAGCACACGTTCTTCACGAAGCCGCTCCTCGGCTTCGACAACTCGCTCTTCTTCCTCGCGCTGCTGCCGCCCATCATCTTCCACTCGGGCTACGAGCTGCGGCCGCGGTGGCTCGCGGCGAACTTCGGGACCATCGCGTCGCTGGCCGCGCTCGGCACGCTCGCGAGCTCCGTCGTCGTCGCCGTCGCGGTCCTCGCGTGGAGCTCCGCGGGCGGCCGCGGCGTGAGCTTCGCGGAGTGCCTGTCCTTCGGCGCGCTCGTGTCGGCGACGGACCCCGTGAGCGTGCTCGCGGTCTTCGCCGCGCGGCGCGTCGACAGGAAGCTCTTCTACCTCGTCTTCGGCGAGTCGGTGCTGAACGACGCCGTGGGCATCGTGCTCTTCAAGACGTTCTCGAAGCACGTGGGCAGCGCGAAGAGCTCGGGCGGGTCCGCGGCGCTCATCGCGTGCCTCGACTTCTTCGTCATCTTCGGGGGGTCCATGGTCCTCGGCGCGGCGCTCGCGGCGCTCTGCGCGGGGCTCCTGCGGCTCCTGCGCCTGCCCCGGGGCGGCCGCGACGCCGATGCGACGCACGCGGCGGCGAAGCTCCAGGTCGCCGTGCTCGCCATCTTCGTCTTCGCGCCGGCGTTCGTCGCGGAGCTCGTCGAGATGTCGGGCATCGTGACGACGCTCTTCGCGGCCATGGGCGCGCGCCACTGGTGCCGGCCGAACCTGGTCGACGACGCGCGCGCGTCCGCGGACGCGGTCTTCGCGACGCTCGCGCACCTCGCGGACGCGGCCGTCTTCCTCTACCTCGGCCTGAGCCTGCCGTTCGCGAACTGGGCGCGCGACTCGTCCGCCTCGCTTGTCGCCGTCGCGCTGGTCGCGTGCCTCGTCGGCCGCGCGTCCCACGTCTACCCCATCGCCCACGCGTTCAACCGCAAGGCGGCGCCGGGCGACGTCGTGCCGCCCAACTTCCAGCACATGCTCTGGTTCTCGGGGCTCCGCGGCGCGGTCGCGTTCTCCTGCGCGCACGCGTTCCCGAACGACAACGGCCACCGGGACCTCTTCGCGACGACGACGTCGGCGCTCATCGTCGTGACCACGCTCGTCGGCGGCGCGACGACGGACGCGGCGCTCCGCGCGCTCGCGATCCCGACGGGCTGCGGCGACGGCGCGGACCCGCCGCGGCCGGCCCACTTTGGCTGCCTCGCGGCCGTCGACGCGGTCCTCTACCCGTGCCTCGTCGCGCCGGACGTCGACCCCGTGACGCCGCGCGGCGAGGCGGAGGCGCGCAGCGCGGGGGCGCAGCTCGAGCTCGCGCCCATGGCGCCCGACGACGCGGCGACGTGGAACCCCACGGTGGCGGCGGCCGGCGTGGCCTAGGAGCGGCGGCGGGGACGGGCGGGTAAAATAGGCGCGCTCCTCTAACCAGAACTTACGCCGCCCCCCTCGAGAAGATGCAGCACCTCGACGCGCTTCCGCTTCCACTTGAGGTCCTCGTGGCCGACGTCGTACGCGGGCTCGAACGCCGCGCCCGGCAGTTTCGCGGAGAGCGCCGCCACGAACGCGTCGCGGCCCTCGCGGTCCGGCGACCCGCCGACGACGACGTCCATGCCGCGCGCCCGCGCCTCGACGACGCGGTCCGCGACGGCGAGGGCGAGAGGCGCGTCGTAGAGCACGTCCGCGGCCACGAGCCTGGCAGGAAAAGAGAGCGAAATTCCCAACTTTGGAGACTGATATCTCGGCCATTTTCCACTCGTTTCGGCTAATTTTTGGATGAGCGATCATCTCTCGGAGCGTTCTCGACGCGTGGATGCATTTTCCGGAACGGTCGCGCGCGGAAAACTCATGTTGAAGCGAACTTGAATCACTCTTTTCCTGCCCTGGCCACGAGCAGGTCGAAGCCCGCGGGCAGCGGCTCCGGTCCGCGGGCGTCGAAGGCCGCGACGTCGACGGCGAGCCGCTGCTCCGCGGCCGCGCGGCGCGTGAGGTCGAGGGCCCTCGGCGACACGTCGGTGGCGAGGACGCGGCGCGCGCCGCTCGCGGCGGCGACCAGCGCGGCGAAGCCGTTGCCGCAGCCGAGCTCGAGCACGTCTCGGCCGGCCGCGACGGCGCGGAGCCGCGCCGCGGCGGCGAGCGCGCCGGGCCAGAGCTTGGCGCCGTAGGGATTCTCCGCCGCCGTCGACGCGCGCCACCACCCCTGGTCCGCCACTTCGAGCACCCAGATGGAGCAATTGCCGTCCAGCGTCGTCGTCGCGCGCCGCAGCGCGAGCGGCGCTTCGGCGCTTTTTGTTGTGGGTGGTATTTTGGTGCGCTTGCGCGGCGCGCGCGCGAGAGGTGCTGCGAACGGCACCAAGAGCAGCAGCATGCATATATATATAGGCGCGGCCCAAATGTGCTGGACCATGCCGTCTCTCCTCCGACTTTCCAAGGGCGTGTCTCAGCATCAGGTTGATGGCAACGAAACATCGTAGGGCGCCGTCGACGTCGAGTCCTCCGCCGCGCCGGGGGGCTAGATCAGGCGCAATTAGGAAACAGACAAGCGAACTAGACGACGTCGGCGCCGGCCCGGGCCTCCGGCGCGGGCGCGGGCCGCGGCGGCCGCGGCTCGCCGCGGAGCACGTGCTTCTCGAGGTTCACGAGGGGCTGCTCGACGAAGAGGTGGACGACGAGGGAGCAGAGCAGCACGATGGCCGAGACGCCGAGGAAGGCCACGTACCAGCCCACCTCCGTGAAGACGACGCGCGCGTCCGTCGACGACTTGTACAAGACGTCGAGCACCGCCGGGTGGATGAGGTAGGCCGCGAACGTGAGCTTGGCCAGGGGCGCGAAGACCGGGAGCGAGAGGATGCCGCCGACGAAGGCGCCGCGGCCGAAGAAGCAGGGCAGGGCGAGGAGGGAGAGCGCGCAGGCCCACGCGGGCTTCGCGAGCGCGAGGTAGAGGTGGTTCTTCCACTTGGCGGGACCCGAGGGCGCGTCCTGGTAGAAGGGGTAGGAGCCGAAGACGAGCGCCGCCGCGACGGCGAGGCCCGCGGCCAGGGACCCGTAGGCGACGCGCGCCGACGGCGGCTCGCGGGCCTTGTCCTTGGCGGCGTCCGCGTAGTAGAACGCCGTCGCGACGCCGACGAGGTACGGCGGGATCCGCGTCCAGGGCCGCACGTAGTAGTCCGGGAAGTAGTCGCCGCCGTCGAAGGTCGCGAAGGACAGGTCGAAGGCGTAGGCCGCCCACCAGGCGTAGGCGACGGAGGCCAGCGCCAGCGCGCCGAGGACCGCGTAGGCCGCCGCCGCCGATTTGAGTTTCAACGAGACGAAGCCGGGCAGGAGGAGGAAGAACTGCATGTCGTTCGGTAGGTACCAGGCGACGCCGTAGCAGGCATCCTCGGTGCCGTGGAAGGGCACGAGGTTGTTCACGTAGAGCATGTTCGTCCAGAAGGTTTTCGCGCAGTCGCGGTACTCGCCGCGCTGCTGCGCCCAGACCGGGCCCGAGCCGTAGACGCGGAGCACCTTCCACCAGAGCAGCACGATGAAGGCGTAGGACGGCGTGAGCCGCAGGTAGCGCTGCAGGTAGGCCCTGGGGATCCAGGTGCACGTCGTCGCGCGCGCGGCGACCTTCGACGCGACGAACGCGCCGAGGAAGCCGCTGAGCCAGAAGAACGTGTCGACGGAAAACTCGGCCGCGTTCAGCACCTGGCCCCGCACCGTCGCCATGTACCCTTTTCCGTCGTGGGGGACGACGGCCTCGTACATGTTCGTGTAGCCCGGCGCCTGCGTCGGCCAGAGGATCGAGTGGCCGTAGACGACGTAGAGCATGGACAGGCACCGGACGCCGTCGAGGCACGCCAAGGGGCCGCCGCGGCCCGCGAGCCACTCGCCCCAGGTGCGCCGGAGCGAGAAGCAGGCCAGCCAGGCCGGGGTCGCGCGCGCCGGCGCGTCGCCGCCGTTGAGCGCCGCGTAGCCGTCGCCGGGCGCCGGCGCGGCCGCGACCACGTCCGCGGCCGTCGCCGTCAAAGCGAGCGCGACGAGCAGGCACGCGGCGACGATCACGGCGACGCCCGCGCCGTCCAACTCAAAGGAAAAGTCGTCGTCGAGCACGGACCACGCCGTGAGCGTGCCGACGAGCGGCACGGCGGCCAAGGCCGCCCGGACGTCGCCCGCGGAGCACGCGGCGGGCAGGCAGGCGCCGAGCATGGGGTGGCCGCCGCCGGCGGTGACGACGAAGTAGCGGAAGCCGGCGATGGTGCCGCAGGCCGCCGGGTCGCCGAGGTCGTCGACGTGGCCCTGCATCTCGAAGAGCAGCGTCTGGATGTTTTTCACCGGGTCGAGCGCGAACTCGACGTAGAGCGCGATGAACGTGAGGAAGTCGGCGGACGCGTAGCGCGCGAGCTGGTTCGCCGTGCTCTCGAAGTTCTCCGCGTAGTCCTCGAGCGCCGCGGCGCAGGACGGCCGCACGGCCGCGAGCGTGGCGTTGAGGGCCGTGGTGCAGGAGACGCCGAGGGCCGACTGGCAGGTGGGCTGCGTGGGCTGCTCGTCGTCGACGGCGGCGGCGCGAGCGAGGAGCGCGAGGAGGAGCAGCGGGAGGTGTTTCATGGTCGTGCTTTGTGCTGCGTGCTTGGTCACCTTGCGTTGGGCCGTCACAAGAAAGCTCTTCTAGCGGTTGTCCTGGGTTTTGGAGGCGGGCTGCCACCTATGGGCCACCAATCAGATTTGAGATAGTATTGGAGTAAGGTATGCACTACCCCTGCTCCTCCGACCCGTATTGGATACAAGAAGACACGTGCGCGGGCTCGATCCGCTCACACGATTCTTCAAAGCAAAGCCACCCGCATTGCTTCGGCGTCCGTCGCACCGCGCGCGCGCGTCCCCACCCAATCTCCCACACCCGCAACCCTCCCCCCGCCCCTCCCCATGCAACCCTCGACCCGCCCACCAAATTTCCCCGCCGCTCGTCGCGTCCTCGACGCGCGCGGCGCATCGGATCTTTTCCCTTGAATATGCGCGCCTTCGATCGTTGCAACACTCACCCGCGCAATTCCCGCCGCAGACGCGCAATTCCCGCCGCAGACACTCACACTCATCACCATGAAGCTCGCCCTCGCCCTCGCTCTCGTCGCCCCCGCCGCCGCCTTCCAGGCGCCGGCCACCCAGAAGGCGTCCGTCGTCGTCAAGGACTCCATCGGCGTCGACCCCGGCCCGATCGAGCCCTCCGGCCTCTTCTGGGAGGACAAGGAGTCTCTCGCGCGCCGCCGCGCCGTCGAGATCAAGCACGGCCGCATCGCCATGACCGCGTTCATCGGCATGATGGTCCAGGAGCTCGGCATCACGTTCCCGGGCTCGATCAACCTCGACGGCTCGGTCCAGTTCTCGGACATCCTCAAGGACGGCATGGGCTTCGCCGCCCTCGGCAACATCCCGACCTTCGGCCTCGTGCAGATCGCCCTCTTCGGCGGCATCGCCGAGACGGTCGCCATGCCCGCGTCCCAGTACACGGGCGGCCCCCAGAACCTCCCCGGCGGCTACGACGGCTCCGCGGGCACGATCCCCGGCGGCTACCCCTTCACGGAGCAGATCACGGACCCGGCCGCGCGCACGCGCGCGCTCACCTGCGAGCTCCAGAACGGCCGCGCCGCCATGATGGGCGTCACGGGCGCGATGATGCACTCCCAGCTCGACTCGTGCGACCACCACTTCTTCTACCCCATCACGCACAACTAGGCGCGCACGCGCCCAAGCAAGCTCCACGGCGGAGGCGCCCCCTCGTCCTCGGACGTGGCCGGAAATAGCCCAGGCTAGTTGCGCGCCGCTAAATACCCTTCGTGCCAGCCTGGGCCTGAGCTCGCGCCGCGGCAGCCGCGAGCTCGCCTCGTCGGACACAGGACGCCTCGCCGGGGGCGGCGCGACGAGCATCCGTGGAGCCGCCGCCGCGTCGCCGCGACGAGGCGCGAGAGGAGCCGCGGCGCGCGGCGCCGCGGCGCGCGGAGCTGCGGGGTGCGCGCGCCGCGGACCCCAGGCGGGGACCCCCCGGCTGATGAAGGTAAGATCATCCTAATCGAGGGAGCGGTAACGCAGGGCATAGAGCAAGCCGTCGGGCCCGGTCGGCAGCCCCGTTTCGCGCGAGGAGCCGGTCGGCACGGGGGGCGCGCTGGGCGCGCGCCGTCGAGCCACACACCGGCGTCGACCGCGATGGACGCCGGCGGCCGGGACAGCGTGTTGACGCTGCCGCCCGAGGTCCTCAAACTCACGCACCAGCTCGAGCAGGAGAAGCTCGAGAGCCTGACGCGGCGCTACGACGTGCTGCGCAAGGAGAACGAGCTCCTCAAGACGCGCCTCGAGAAGAGCGCGACGGCCGCGTGGAACCACCGCGGAAGAAACACAGCTCGCGAAACCCCGCTCCTTTCTTAGGCGAGAAGGACACGCACGAGTTCGTCGCGTACTTCCAGAAGGAGCTCGAGGGCAAGGACGTGCGCATCCACAGTTTGAACGAGCTCATGGCCCACCAGGACGCGGAGCGCCAGGCGGAGCACGACGCGCTCGTCCGGCGCCAGAGCGAGCAGGTCGCGGACCTCGAGACGAAGCTCCAGACGGCCGACACGACGTCGACGGCGAAGATCCAGATGCTCGAGGACGAGCTCGCCAAGGTCGACACGTTCCGCGAGATGAAGCTCGCCATGGACGCCAAGATCGAGGAGCAGGAGAAGGCGCTGAAGCTCGCCGAGGAGCGGCACCTCGCCGAGGCGACGGCGAACGAGCGCAAGTTCCTCGCGGAGAAGAGCAAGATGCAGAAGGACCTGGAGAAGCGGACGTCCGACATCCGGCGCGCGGCGAAGCAGGAGATGCAGAACGGCCTCGACGCCGACACGCTCAAGGTCATCGGCGAGAACCGGCGCATGGCCGAGGAGCTGCGGTTCCAGCAGCAGATGACCGCGGAGCTCCAGAGCGAGAAGAACGCCGTCGACGAGGCCGTGCGCGTGCTCCGGCGCGACATGGAGCTCGCGCGCGAGAAGGAGGGCGAGTACGCGAAGCAGTCCCACGTGAAAAACCGCGAGGCGAAGAAGCGCGAGGAGAAGATCGCGGCGCTCGAGGAGCTCCTCCGCGACGCGGGCAAGAAGTTCCAGGGCGAGAAGGCCCACTTAAGACGCTCGCTCCAGGCGTCCCTCGAGGAGCAGACCCTCGACGCCGCGGGCCTCCGGCAGATGCTCCGCCTGAAGAACCGCGAGCTCTCGAAGCTCCGGCGCCTCGCGGAGATGGTCCTCGACTGTGTGGAAACCAACCACTGGTTGGGTGGTCCTGACCAAACTTGAGAATTCTCTAGCTCGGTCACATCCAAGTCGATTCGGCTGATTTTTGGACGGATCGATCGCTCTCGTCGAGTTCTCGAAGCCAAGCCGAAGCGATTGCGTCGAAACTGTCGCGTAAGCGCACATTGAAGTCGGGTTGAAGATTTGGTTTCCACACAGGTCCTCGAGCAGCGCACGGAGGTCGAGCAGTTCTTCCTGGAGGCGCTCGAGGACGTCAAGGCGAACATCGTCAAGCAGCGCCAGGAGCGCTACCGCGCGGACATGGCCGAGTACCGCACGCAGATGCGCACCGCGACGCTCGGCGACGGCACGGCCAAGTTCCCGAAGATCCGCGCGCTCCAGGCGGGCAAGGACGTCGACGGCATGGGCCCGCCGGCGCCGGGCACCATGCCCCACAACTTGTCGGCGAAGGTCCAGCTCAAGGACCTCACCCTGGAGGACCGGGAGCACGTCCTCCGGCTCCTCTTCGCGAAGATCAACGCGGTCCACGGCAACGTCTCGAGCCTCCCGCCCCACGACCTGGAGAACAACGAGCGCACCTTCCTGACCAACTCCGCGCCCACGGGCGGCGGCGACGGGGGGATGTAAGCGTGGTTCGCGGAGGAAGGGGCCGATGCAGACGTCGAGGCTACGTCGATGCAGGCCTCGATGCCCGCCGCCCGCCGCGGTCGCGGCGGCGGAGCTGGCGTCGGAGCCGAGCACTCGGGAGTGGTGGTCGCCCTTGAAGCATCCGCCTCCCGTCGACGCTAAAACAAGCCGGCCGGGCGACGCGCTCTCTGCCACCGTCCGAGCGCGGGTGCCGCGCGGGGACGGGGATGGCGGACGTCGACATGATGGACATTACGTCGGAAAGCGGACACGCGGGCGGCGCCCCGCGGGCCCCGGAGCCGTTTTTCAACAACGGGCTGCACAAAGACCACTTTCGGGAAAGCCCGATGGCGATGGACGACGCGCCGCCGTGCCCCTGCGACACGAGCCACGTCGAGGAAGGCTGCTACTGCCCTAGTGACGTTTTCAAGGGTGCGGCCCACCTCGCGCCCGCGGCGCTCGAGAGGCGACCGGGGTCGCCGGCGATGCCGCCGCGCGCAAACTTGGAGCCGTGGGTGGCGCCCCCCGCGGCGCCCGCGGCGCCCGAAGTGCCCTGGGCGGCCCGCACGGCGCCCCCGGCGCCCCCGGCGCCCCCGTGCCCGTGCGCCACGTCGCACGTGGAGCCGGATTGTTTTTGCCCCGAGGGCGGCGCGTCGGATCCGTTCGCCGAGGCCGACGCGGCCGCCGGCGACGCCGACGCGATGGCCTGCGACTCGCGCTGCGACGCCTGCCCCTGGTGCGGCGACGTGTGCGACGACCCGGACTGCGCCGAGTGCGCCGTCTGGCGGCGGCGGCCCCGGCCCCGCGCGCGGAGCCAGGCCGTCTACACGCTGTGCGAGATCCGGAGGCACTGCACGGCCGAGTCCTGCTGGCTCGTCGCCGGCCGCGACGTCTTCGACGCGACGCCCTTCCTCTCGCGCCACCCGGCGGGGACCAAGTCGATCGTGCGCGTCTCCGGCGGCCGCGACTGCACCGAGGACCTCGGCTTCCACTCGGGCAAGGCGCAGAAGCTGTGGCAGCAGCACAAGATCGGCCGCCTCGTCGCCTGCCCCTGCGAGAAGAGCAAGGACGACCCGCGCGGCTGCGCCCTGAGCTGAGGACGCCGCGCGCGAGCGCGCCCCGATAATCGGAATCGTCAAACACCCGGATTTCCGCCGGTGGCGCGAGCGACATGTGGGAACACAGCAGGTCTGATTACTCGAGCCGCGGGGGTGCCCCCCGCGGGAAGCGGACCGGTCGATCACGCGACGAGCGCCGCGCAGAGTTTGGGGAGGAGGAGGCAGGCGAAGCCGACGCTCGCGGACTCGAGGGCGTGGCGCGTGTAGGCGAGGCGGGAGAAGGAGGCCCGCCAGCCGCCCGTCCAGGCGAGGGCCGCCGTCGCGGCCGCGAAGGTCGCGAACGACGCGGCGCCGGCCGGCGACGAGCCGTCGAGCGACGCGCCGTAGGCGCCCCCGGCGACCGCCGGCGCGCAGGCGGCGGCCAGTCCCCCGCAGCAGAGGGGCAGGGCCGCGCCGAGGGCCACGCAGGCCGCGAGCTGCGCGCACTGCGCGCCGGGATTCGCGGCGGGCTCGAACATGCGGAGCTCCTCGGTCATCATGAGGTTCACGAAGAAGGCCTTGTAGTCGCTCAGGGTCGCGATGACGCGCTCGGCGTCGGGCCGCGCCAGGCCCTTGAACATCCACAACCCGACCATCTCCTCGCGCTCGCCCTTGGCGTAGTTGTCGAGCTCCCAGGTTTCCCTGCCGTGTTCGCGGGTGTAGTGCCGCGCGTACCAGAGCCGCGCCGTGGCCTCGCGCAGGCCGTAGGCCAGGGCCAGCGTCAGGGCGAGCGAGAGGAGGCGGGGGCGGGAGACGTCGCCGCCGAGGGCGGACTCGAGCACGATCGCCGCGCACAGGCCGACCTGCGCCGCGTCGACGCGGCGGTAGCACGCCTCCGCGTGGGCGCCGCTGTTGTGGCCGTCCTCCTCCCAGTCCTTGAGCGTCGCGTCGTGGGCGATCTGGCTCGCGGCGCTGTCCTTCTCGTCGAAGGCCTCGCGCGTCTTCTTGACGCGGGCGAGCGTCGGGCTCTCCATCGATGTGCGCGGCGGGGGTGACTTTGCGTCGCGGACGCGCGGTGCGTGCTGTTGGCGGTGTAGCGGTGGTCGGCGGACGCGAACCGGCGCGGGCGACGGCGGCCGCAAAAGAGGGGCACGAGGCTCGCGCCTTGAGCTGCTGCCAATCGATGCGAACCCGCACTTGAAGCTACGTTGCAGGCCAGACGCCTCGCGCGTCCATCGCGCTTACTTCCTATCCACCCACCCCTACATGCGGAAGACGCCGCGGCCGAGGTCGCCGCGCTCCTTCCCCGACACGACCTTCAGCGCCTTGGCCAGCACCGCGCGCGTGTCCTTGGGGTCGATGACGCCGTCGTCCCAGAGGCGCGCCGTCGCGTAGTAGGGGCTCGCCTGGGCCTCGAAGGAGTCCTGGACGGGCCGCTTGAACGCCGCCGCCGCGTCGTCGTCGAGCGGGGCCTCGCCCGCGGCGGCGAGGGCCGCCTGCTTCACCGTCAGGAGCGTGTCCGCGGCCTGGGCCGCGCCCATGACGCCGATGCGCGAGTTCGGGTACGAGAAGAGGAAGTCGGGCTCGAAGGCCCGGCCGCACATGCCGTAGTTGCCCGCGCCGTGGCTGCCGCCGACGAGGAGCGTGATCTTGGGCACGTTGGCGCCTACCGAGCATGACGGTGACGATTGCTCACTGTTTTCCCACCCCAAATCTCTCGAACATCGTCGCGGCCGCGGGACGCCGGTCGGCGCAGGACACGGCCGCGACGAGCTTCGCGCCGTCGCGCGCGATGCCGCCCTTCTCGGCGACGGACCCCACGGAGAAGCCCGTGATGTTCTGGAGGAAGAGCACGGGCACGCCCCGCTGGCTGCAGAGCTCGACGAAGTGGGCGCCCTTCTGGGACGCCTTCGAGTCGAGCACGCCGCCGTTCGCGAGCACGCCGACGCGGCGGCCGTCGACGCGGCCGAAGCCGCAGACGAGCGTCGGCCCGTAGAGCGCCTTGAACTCGGAGAAGCGGCTCCCGTCGAGCACGCGCGCCAGCAGCTCGCGCGGGTCGTAGAGCTGGGCGTTGTCCGTCGGCAGCACGCCGTAGATCGACTCCGCGGCGTACGCGGGCTTCTCGCCCGCGGCGTCGTCCGCGGCGGCGGCGCCCGGCGCGGCGTCGACCAAGTTGTGCACGAGCTCGCGGCACTTGAGCAGGGCGTCGTCCTCGTCGTCCGCCGCGTGGTCCACGACGCCGCTGTGGACCGCGTGCGTGTCCGCGCCGCCGAGCGATTCCGCGGAGATCTCCTCGCCCGTCGCCGCCTTGACGAGCGGCGGCCCCGCGAGGAAGATCGTGCCGTTGCCGCGCACGATGATCGCCTCGTCGGACATGGCCGGCTGGTAGGCGCCGCCGGCCGTGCAGGACCCGAGCACGCAGGCGACCTGGGGGACGCGCTTCGCCGACATGCGGGCCTGGTTGTAGAAGATGCGGCCGAAGTGGTCCTTGTCCGGGAAGATCTCGTCCTGGAGCGGCAGGAAGGCGCCGCCGCTGTCGACGAGGTAGACGCAGGGCAGCTTCAGCGCCTCGGCGACGGCCTGGGCGCGCAGGTGCTTCTTGACGGTCACGGGGTGGTACGTGCCGCCCTTGATCGTCGCGTCGTTCGCGACGAAGACGCAGTCGCGGCCCCGCACGGGGCCGATCGCCGTGACGATGCCGCCGGACGCGACGGCGCCGCCGTACATGCCGTCGGCGGCCAGGGGCGACAGCTCGAGGACGTCCGCGCCGGCGTCGCAGATCGCGGCGATGCGCTCGCGCGGCAGCCGCTTGCCGCGCGACCGGTGCCGCGCGACGCTCTTCGCGCGGCCGCCCTCGGCCAGCGCGCCGTGCTTCTCCCGGAGCTCGGCGGCCAGGGCGCGGTGGTGCGCGACGCGCTCCCGGTAGGCGTCGCCGTTCTCGTCGAGCTGCGACTCCAGGACCGGGAGCTCCGAGAACGCCGCGTCGGCCGCCGCGGAGTCCAAGGCGCCGACGTCGGGCCCGCCGGGCCGCCAGCAGCGCGCGAGCGCCGCGAGCTCCGCGTCGCTCGGCGCGTAGTCGGCGCTCGCGACGGCGTCGACCTTCTCGCGGCGCGTCCGCTTGAGGTCCGCGGCCGGCCCCGTCGCGCGCTTCCGCGCGTACTTGCCCGACGTCAGCGCCAGCGTCTGCGCCTGGTCCACCTGGTCGCCGACGCGCACGAGCACGTCGTCGACAAAACCCGACACCTCGGACTTGATCTCCATTTCGAGCTTCATGAACGACAGGACGACGACCGCGTCGCCGCGCGCGACGGCGTCGCCCGCCCGCTTCAGGACCGCGACGACGGCGCCGGCCGACGGCGCCGCCAGGGGGCGCCCCGCCACGTCCACGGCCGTCGCCTCGTCGACGTCGTCGTCGGCGGCGTCCAGCACCTTCTCCAGGAAGCCCGTCGTGATGGCGTCGTCGGCCATGCGCGCGTGGTCGAGGATCGCCGCGTGCTCGTCCAGGTTCGTGTTCACGCCCTCGATGACGTAGTTCGCGACGGCGTCCCGCGTCTTGGCGACGAGCGCGGCGAAGGGCTCGGCCGCGGGCACGGTCGTGCAGAGCTTGGCCATCAGCGGATCGTAGAGCGTCGACGGCGCGTCGCCGGGCCGCCAGGGGTCGCCCGCGGCGTCGACGCGGTGGCCGGCGGGCTCGTCGTAGGCCGTCAGGACGCCCGTGTGCTCGGGCTTCGTCGGCGGCGCGACGGAGACGCGGCACTGCATGGCCCAGTGTTTGGCCTCGACGGCCGACTGGGGAAAGACGGCGCCGACGTCGCCCCGGGCCGCGATGGCCGCGAGCGTCTCGCCCCGGGCGACGCGCAGCTGACAGCGCACGAGGTCGACGCCCGTCGTGAGCTCCGTGACCGTGTGCTCGACCTGGATGCGCGGGTTGACCTCCATGAAGAACGCCCGCGAGGTCGCGTCGTCGAGGCGCCCGCGGACGAGGAACTCGACGGTGCCCGCGTTGGCGTAGCCCGCGGCCCGCGTCAGGTCCAGGGCGCTCGACGTGAGCGTGCTCCGCAGCTCCTCGCACAGGTCGCGCGGCGGGCTCCACTCGACGACCTTCTGGTTCCGCCGCTGCACGGAGCAGTCGCGCTCGAAGAGGTGGACGCCGTCGCCGTGCGCGTCCCAGAGCACCTGGACCTCGAGGTGCTTGGCGTCCTCGACGAACTCCTCGACGAAGACGCGCGAGTCCCCGAAGGCCGCCGCGGCCTCGCTCGAGCAGCGCGCGAAGTTCGGCGCGACCTCGGCCATGGACCGGCAGACGCGCATGCCCCGGCCGCCGCCGCCGGACGCGGCCTTGAGCATGACGGGGAACTCCAGGCCCTCCGCGGCGAGCCAGGCCTCGACGTCGGCGCCCGCGGCGAAGGCGTCGCCCTCGCCGCTGCCCCTGGCGACGGGCACGCCGAGGTCCGTCGCCAGCGCGCGCGCGGTGACCTTGTCGCCGAAGGTGTCGATGGCCGCCGCCGACGGCCCGACGAAGACGAGGCCGTTCGCCGCGCAGGCCCCCGCGAGGGCCGCGGACTCGCTCAGGAAGCCGTAGCCGGGGTGCACCGCGCCCGCGCCGGACGCGAGCGCCGCGGCGACGATGCCGTCGACGTCCAGGTAGGGCGCGATGGGCCCGCCCTCGGACCCGCCGCTCGACGACTCGTGGCCGATGACGACGGACGTCGTCGCCGCGGCGACGTGCGCCGAGTTAGCGTCCTCGCGCGCGCACACGGCGACGCTCTCGAGGCCTTCCGCCGCGCACGCGCGCATGATGCGGAGGGCAATTTCGCCGCGATTGGCCACGAGCACGCGGCCGAAGGACGCACTGCGGCGCGTGTTAGCGCCGCGGCGCAGCACTGCGCGCATCGATGCACTGCGCGCATAGATTAGGTGGACTCCCATGCTCTGAATTCTGTGGCAATCAATCCGCTCGCTCATTGGCCGATTTTCGGCCGCCGCAACCAACACGTGACGTCGCCGTAGGCTCGCCGTCTCCTCCTACAATAGTAACCAGCAGCGACCAACGTCGCCTACTCGCCCGCAAGACCATTCTCTGCCCGAAGCCGGTCCGGGCAGGGACTTTCGTGGCGTATGGAGAAAAGACGGAGACATCCCCCCCAAAAATTCAAAAAAGCACACACCTCCTTTTACGCGCCCCGCATCTTCTTCTTCTTGCCGCCGCCGCCGTCGCGCTTCTGCTTCTTCGCCTTCTTCGGCGAGGCGGCGGGCTCGTCGCCGCCGCGCGCGCGCGGCGCCTTGGTCGAGGGCACCTGGACGAGCGCGCCGTCGCGGAGGCCGCCGTCGGCGGCGCGCGCGAGGGCCGCGGCCGTCGCGTCGTCGATGGCGAAGTCGTCGCCCGCGTCCTCGAGGGCGTCGAGGAGCGACGGCCCGGACCGCGCGGGCGCCGCCGCCGCCGCCGCGTCGTCCGCGGCCGCGCGCTGCTCGTCGTCGAGCGACGTGGCCACGGGCGTGAGCTTGGCCGCGCGCGCCTCGCGGCGCGCGGCGTCCTGCTTGCCCAGGCCCAGCTCGACGTCGCGCACGTGGGCCTCGCGGACGCCGCGGATCGCGGCCGAGAACTTGCGCACGGCCTTGTTGTAGAGCGCCAAAGCCTGCGACACGGGCAGGTTGAGCTCCGAGGCCACGTCGGCGACGTCCTTGCGCTGGAGGCTCAGGCCGAGCACGATGGCGGCCTGGAGCAGCGAGAGCTTGACGCCCGCGAGCTTGCCCGCGAAGCAGAGCTCGCCGAGCCGCGGCAGGAGGTCGCTGATGAGGTGGTGGTCCACCATGTTCTTCGCGTAGAGGTCCAGGCGGTCGAGGTCGTGGGCCGTGAACGCGTAGCCGAGCTCCGCGGCCCCCGCCGCGGGCGGCAGAGACCGGCCGCCGCCGTCGCCGCCGAAGACGCGCGCGTTGAGGACCGAGGACGCATCGCGCGCGCCCAGGAGGCCGAGGCTCAGGGACAGGGGGAAGGCGTGGAAGCACGGCGCGCCGAGCAGCGCGCCGACGCGCCGCCGGAAGTCGTCGACGAAGGCGTCGGACCAGCCGGCCTGGACGCCCGCCGCGGACCGGATCTCCCGCAGGACGATGGCCGTGTGCTCGCCCGTGACGTCGTTCGCCGTCTGCCGCACGTAGCAGGGCCGCATGCCGAGCTTGCCCCAGAACTCGAAGAGGCCCTCCGTGAGTCCGAAGGACGCGCCGACCCACTGGAGCGCCGGCGCGGCCTTGGCACCCACGGGCGCCAGCAGCGGCGGCAGCTTCGACCGCGGCTTCAGCTCCTCCTTCCGGAGGCTCTTCATCCGCGCGATCTCGCCCCGGTCGTCGTCCGACGCGTCGTCGTCCGACGCGTCGTCGTCGTCCTCCGCCGCCGCCGCCTCGTCCTCGTCCTCGTCGTCGTCGTCGTCCTCCATGCCCTCGTCGAGGTCGCCCTCGAAGTACTTGACCAGGTCCGCGAGCGCCTTGGCGCCGTAGCCCATGCGCTGCGCGTCGGGATGCGTCGCCACCCGGACGACGCGCGCGCCCGACAGCTTCGCGAAGCTCGGGTCGCAGAACTGCTGTGACAGCGTCCAGGGCACGAGGTCGCCCGCCGCGCGCTCGCCGCGCGCGAGCGCGCCCCGGACGACGTCCGCGGCGATGAGCCCCTCGAGCGCGACCTGGACGACGACGAGCACGTCCGGCAGCGTCCCCGGCGGCGCGGCCTCGTCGACGGGGCCCAGGAGCACGTAGAGCCGGTGCGCCGGCGCGTCGCTCAACAATTGCAGGTCGTTGGGCTGGTTCTTGTAGTGCGCCGCGGTGTAGAGCGCCATGACGCGCTGGAGGAACCGCTCGCTGAGCGCGTGGTAGGAGAAGAGCGCGTCGCGGTCGACCTCGTACAGCCCGCAGGCCGCGGGCGCCGGCAGGCCCCGGCTCAGCGCGAAGCAGCCGCGCTTCGGCGAGTCGAGGCAGAGCGCGCGGTGCAACCAGGCCTCGACGTCGTCGCCCGCCGCGTAGCGGATCGGCGCCTCGAGCGCGAGCTCCCGCAGGGACTTGGCGCCGCCGGCGTCGCTCGCGCCCTTGGCGGCGGCGGAGGCCTCGGCCCAGCGCGCCTCGTGGAGCTTGAGGTCGCCCTTCTTCGCGTGCGCGACGCCCCGCACGCCGTCCGCCGCGTCCGCCGCGGCTTCCGTGACCGCGCGGCGCGCGTGCTGCGCGCGGAGCTGGGCGATGAGCTTGAGCTGGAGCGCGCGGCCCGTGCCCTCGTAGCCCGTCACCGTCGACGCGAGGAAGACGACGTAGGGCCCGAGGAGCTTCTTGACCGTCGGCAGCGGCAGCGCGGCGGCCTCGTCGATGACGAGCAGCTCCGCGTGGCTCAGCTTCTCCGGGTCGCCGGGCGACACGTACTGGACGACCTGGCGCGTCGTCCGCTCGCCGCCGTCCTTCTTCGTGTAGACGTTGACGCGCACGGGCACGTCGTCGCCCCCGTCGGTGCGGTGCTTGAGGACCTCGTAGTCGCCGTGCTCCGAATAATGTAAAGCCTCGAGCCCCACGAGCAGGAACTCGAAGACCGTGCCCACGTTCTCCGGCGACGGGGCCGTGACCTACGGCGTCGGGGGGTCGCGTTCCGGACGGACGCGTCGCGTCGTTCCGACCGCGGCGACCGGGGGCGACTCAGAGGTAGTGACAAGTGATGCGTTCTCTCCAGCGACGGATCTCGGAAGGTAAAGCGAATCAAACTTTCGTCATCGTCTAAAAAAACGGAAAGACCGGCGGACGCGGGCGACGCGCGAAGACGGACGCGTATCCCGTCGCGACGGCGGCCGCGAGGCACAGGCCGAGCGCGGCGGACTTGCCGCGGCCGCGCGGCGCCGTGAGCGTCGTCACGGACCGCGCGCGGCGCTCCGCGAGGGCGTCGATGAAGGCGAGCACCGCGCGCGCCTGGTCGAGCGTCCGCGCCTTGGCGACGAGCTCGCCCGCCGGCGGCGCGTCCGCGAGCGTCGCCGCCAGGTCCTCGATCTCGGCCCTGACGGCCGCCGACGGCGGCGGCGGCGCGTCCGGCGGCGCGTCCTCGAAGCGGGCGACGTGCTTGCGGCTCAGGGGCAGCACGTTGAGCTCGTCGTCGAGGACGAGGCACCGCCGGCAGTCCGCGAGGCTCAGGATGAAGCGCTCGTTGAAGCGCGGCACGCACTCGCCGCGCGTCGCCGAGCCCCGGAAGCGCGCGTGCACGTCCATGGACATGGCGTAGAGCTGCTTGAGCGACGTGACGGTCCGGAGCAGCACGACGACGAGGCCGCCGCCCTCGACGGTCTCGATCGTCCGCGCGAGCAGGTTCGGCGTCAGCGCCTCGAAGTCCTGGAGCACGAGCGTGCCGTAGGTCGCGCCGAGGATCTTGTGCGTGTCCCGGTAGTAGCACCAGCGGATGTCCGTCTGCGAGATGAAGAGCTCGAAGGGTTCGTCCGTCGCGTCGTGCAGCCCGCGCGCGATCTGCTTCTTGATCGCCTTCATGCGCTTCTTGCGGTGCGTGCTGAAGCCGAGCTCCTTCTTGTAGCACCAGAGCACCGACGGCCGCGCGCGCACGCGCGCCTTGCTCAGGATCGCGTGCAGGTTCACGACCTGGTCCTTGCCGTAGTCGCCGACGAGCACGACGAGCGACCGCTGCTCCAGGGCCACGCCCTCCTCGATGAAGCGCCGCACGCGCTCGTCGACGCGCTTGCGCACCATCGTCGCTGCGTGTGCTGCTACGGCGGCGCGCGTGCAAGGCGTGCCCCGGCGCTCGACGGCGTCGCAGTCGGTGGTCGAGCTTTGATCGATCGCCCGTTTTCGCAGCCTCTTGCCGCCTCTTGCCGTCCCACGCCTCGGCACTCGAGCTCAGTACGCCTCAACCCCGCCAACGCGCCGGGCCGCTCCTTACCCGGTCCTTCGCGCGCGGGAAAAGGGCCGGGGGGATAATACTCGGCGGAAGACCGTGCGGTGATGGCGGCCGCGGCACACGCACGGTAAAATTTAAGCGGCCGCGCGGCGCGCGCGCGCGACTTCGGCGTTGCGCCCCTTGGCCTCGTTCACGCGCTTCGCGTGCTTCTCGTCGAGCGACGGGTCGAGCCAGCCGACGAGGCCGCCGGCGCCCGGCGGGCCGCCGTTCCGCAGCCCCGGGATCAGGCGCACGCCGGCGTAGTAAGGGCCCGATTCCCTTCCGATCATCTCGCGGTTCGCGCGGTTCAGGGGCTTGAGGGCCTTGTCGACGTCATACGCGTGGATGTCGAGCCTGTCGCGCGTCCGCTGCTCGACCTTCGTGGCGACCTCGCGAGCGTGGCCCGCGTCGACGATCGCGAAGGCCCGCGGCTTTATCTTCCGGAGCTCCATTTCGCGAAAGCCGCGCACGAGCTTTAAGGGCTCCTCGGGGTTCGCCAAGCCGATGCCGGGCCGCTGCTTCACCGTTCCGTCCGCGAGAACTTTGCACACAGTCGCACCATTCAAGTCGCCCTCCCGCTCGATGCTCCACTTTCTGGCGGCTTGATCCGTCGACGTCGCGAGCACGATGTAGTAGATGACCCAGTCCCCGTCGTGGTCCGGTTCGCCGAGCTGTTTCCGCAGCTCTTCGACCTTGCGCAGCGTCAACGAAAAGCCCTCGTCCGACACCGCCTCCACGTCGACCCCATCAGGAATTCCAGCCACGTCGCGGATGCTCGCGGCGGCCCGACGTTCGTCGCGAGCGGCATGGAAAGCAGTTCCTCTCAAAAGAATCTTCTCGCGTCCGCCACGCTCGGCATAATATGTTTTGCGTGATTGCTGCACCTGCTCTTTGTTCTCGCTCTTGAACTTCTGACTAGCCTTCGCTTTACCGCCCTTCAAAATTTGCAGCACCTGCGACCTCTGGCATCTCACACACGACATGAATCTTTTCCCCTTTGCCTTGGCGTCGACCCCCCACTGGATTTTGTCGTCGGCCTTGTAGCAGAGCGGTTTTTTTTCCCAGTCCTTCCCGCTGCGACTGCGGCACGCCTGACAGCAGTGAACGTAAGGGCAATTGACGGCGTCGCAAGCGCAAAACTTGAGGCCAAGGTCCTGTGCTCTAGAAATCGTCATTCCAGAGTGAACCTGTGGCCTGGGCCCGAGCCAGGCCTCAGCCTCCTCCGTCGTCATCGTCTCCAACGGCAGCGGCCTCCCCTGCCATGTACGTTGCCGCGCCGCCGTCGGCGCCGAAGGTCGCGTCGCGTTTCGTTTCGCTAACGCCGCGCCTCGTTTCGCGTCTGGTAGCGCATTGATGTCGCTTAGGCAAACGATCGGGATATCCATCGTCTTTGCGTCCAAAAACTTCGTCGACCTCTCCTTCGACCGGTCGGAATCAAGAATGCTCCTTGACACCAGCAACACTCCCGTCGTTTTCGTGACCGAGCCCGAGGCCATGAGCTTCCCGCCCTTTCGCTTCACCAGCTCCTCGAGCTTCTCGCGCTCGTCCTCGGGGAAGCCCGTGCCGAGCACGTTCAATCCGACCAAGTTCACAACGGGGGGCTCCGCCGCGGGCTTCACGCCGCGCCGCGACTTCTTCGGCGGCGGCGGCTTCGTCGGCGACTTCGCTTTGCCCGCGGCCGTCGGCGCGTCGCCCTTGGCCTGCTGCGGCGACGGCGGCGCCCGCGCGCGCGCCTTCGTCTTCTCCGCCGCGGGCTCCGCCGCGGGCTCCGCCGCGGGCTCCGCCGCGGGCTCCGCCGCGGGCTTCACGCCGCGCCGCGACTTCTTCGGCGGCGGCGGCTTCGTCGGCGACTTCGCTTTGCCCGCGGCCGTCGGCGCGTCGCCCTTGGCCTGCTGCGGCGACGGCGGCGCCCGCGCGCGCGCCTTCGTCTTCGACGCCGCGGGCTCCGCCGCGGGCTCCGCCGCGGGCTTCACGCCGCGCCGCGACTTCTTCGGCGGCGGCGGCTTCGTCGGCGACTTCGCTTTGCCCGCGGCCGTCGGCGCGTCGCCCTTGGCCTGCTGCGGCGACGGCGGCGCCCGCGCGCGCGCCTTCGTCTTCGACGCCGCGGGCTCCGCCGCGGGCTCCGCCGCGGGCTTCACGCCGCGCCGCGACTTCTTCGACGGCGGCGGCTTCGTCGGCGCGGGGCCCGCGGGCGTCGGCGCGTCGCCCGTGGGCTTCGCCGGCGACGGCGGCGGCCACGCCGTCGAAGCACGCCACGCCGTCGAAGAAGGCGCGGCCGCCGCGCGGTACCCGCCCGGGGGCGTGCCGCAGAGCTTGCATGCTGCGCCACCGTCGCCGCAAATCGTCGAACTTTGGGCGAGGCGCTCGTTCTCGGCCTTGAGGCGCTTGATTTCGGCCTTGAGCGAGGCGAGGTAGGCCGCGGAGACGGTGACTTGTTTTTTAGGCATGTTGAGGACCGTAATAATTGACGGTCGGCGAGCGGCGACAGTGTTTAGAGACGGCGAGGCGACAGAGAGTGGCGAGAAGAGAGGCCTCGCCAAGCAGGGCGAGGATCTCTCGGCCGTGAGATCCTCTTCATTCATGGCGCAAGGGCAGCCCTGATGGTCGACGCCGCCGCGGCCGATGCGGTGCCAGCCCGGTGCGCGGGTTAGCCGGGTCCGACCCCGTCGGCCGCGGAAACCGTGCTGCGCGGGCCTGGCGCTGCGCGCCGCGGGCGCCGCGCGCCGGCGACGTCGCGACGCTCGCCGTCGACAGCCGCCTCTGCGAGGAGAACCCGCACAACTTCACGGGCCTCGACCTCGAGACCGTCGTCCAGGGCACCACGACGGAGGAGCAGACCGTGCACACCGCGCTCGATGGCGCCTACCTCGACGGCTCCTACTACGAGCTCCAGCGCGGCACCGAGCGCGCGGCCCGCCTCGACTGGGGCGCGCCGGCCGAGGACGTCCAGGACGCGCTCAACACGCTCACGCTCACGGACGCGCGCGTCGACATCATACCCGTCGGCGTCAACCCGTCGTTCCAGCCCGACTACATCATCCGCTCGTCGTGCTGGACTGCCCCGACCGCGCGGTACCGCGGAGCCAGCCCTTCGACGACGCGTGCAGTCCGTCTTCTTCTTCAACTTCTTCTTCGACGCCGTCGCCGTCGACGTGCCCCAGCTCTTCTACGACACGAGGCCGACGACGGCTCCGGCGGAGACGCTCCGCCGCTCGCCGAGCCGCGCGGCGGTGGCCTCGCGCACTACGAGCTGCGCTCGCGACGGCCGATTAAGTTGGGACCTCAACTTTGTCTAGAGCCGCACGGGAAATATATTGGTCCGTGACGACGGCGTCTGTTGCGACGATGTAGTCATTTTGTTTTTGTTTTTTTTGGAGGCCATGGGCGCGCCGACGCCGTGCTTCGCGTAGTAGCAGTTGTTCTCGACGATCACGCCGATGTTCGACTGGGCGTGCTCCAGGGCCGTGTCGAAGCAGATCTTGTGGGCCGCGTCGAACCTGCAGCGGTAGTCTCCGAAGGACGCGGACGGGCAGCAGGCCTCGCTGCCCTTGATCGTCTCCCAGAGCGTCGGCGCGTCGGCGCAGCCGTCGACGCCCATCTCTTGGGCCTAGCCCGCAGGACACGCGGATTGTGGGCCGCGCGCCGCGGCGGCCCAGGGTCTCCGACGCGCAGCCTTCTTGGAGAGTACCAGATGCCGGTCAGTGCTAGCACTGCTCAGCGCCGCGGCGACATCGCCTTTGCAGCACGATGTCTTTCCTTTTTTCGAGGACTACACATTCGACCAAGTACGATACACTGGAGTTCGCGCGCATGCTGTGCCTCGCGCGCGACCGAAAGCTCCTGATCGTGAGATGGGCCCCATGCTGCGGGCTGCCCAAGATGGTTCAACTCAGCCTTCAATTCAGTTTGTTGCCGCCCACTCAGACTGCTGCCCCAGCCGATGCGGTGCTAACCCAGCGCGCAAGCCAGCCGGGACCGATTCGTCGACCCCGGCACCTTGCTGCGAGGGCTCGGCGCCGCGGGCGCCGGCAACGTCGCGACGCTTGCCGTCGTCGACATCGGCAACCGAGGGGCTGCCCACCATGCCCTGCTGGGCTCCTACGACGGCTACACGTACCCGCCGGGCGCGGGCAACCTCGACTCCATCACCTACGACACCTCGAGCCTCCAGGGCACGACGCCCGCGGTGGTCAACGAGGTCCTGCGCACGGGCTCGACGCCCTTCAGCGGCACGTTCTCCGTCGCCTTCAACGGCGCCAAGACGGAGGAGATGGAGTGGCAGGAGGCCGCGGACGAGGTCGAGTACGTCATCGAGAAGCTCGACACCATCGGCGAGATCCGCGTCGACCGCACGGACATGGGGCTCCAGCGCATCCCGGGCGTGACGGCGACCTCTGCTTCGACGGCTCGTCGGCGTCGCTCGTCTACGACGCGAGCTTCGGCGACTCGTACGACCGCGAGACGTCGCTCATGGACTACCTCGCGCCCGGCGAGGTCTTCCGCCTCGGCGGCGTCGACGGCGGCATCTACAGCTCGCACGCGGGCAAGGTTGACGGCTCGGAGATGCTCGGCTCGCTCCTCGACTACTCGGAGAACGCGCCCCTCGTCGGCACGCCCCTGGGCCGGCGGCTAGGTCTTCGACGTCGCGCCGATCGACGAGGTCGAGTACGGCGGCGTCGTCGTCGACGACGGCGCGGAGGCGAAGTACCTCGTCGGCGTCGGTCAGGCCTACGAGGTCGTCGTCGTCCGCCTCGCCGACGACGGCGCGCCCGACGCCTACGCCGTTTTAGGGGGCGACGTCGTCACGGGCCTCGACGACGCGACGGCGGAGACGTCCGTCGGCGCGGTCTGGACCTACTACGACGCCGCGGACGACGGCGCGATCGTGCTCGTCGCGTCGTCGAACGACGGCTTCGGCGTCTTCCGCCTCGACACGCCCTTCGCCGTGCCCGACGCCTGCTGGAACAGCGGCGACGACGTCGACGACCACGTCGCCTGCGCCGACAGCGGCGCGAGCGGCTACGCGCCCGTGGCCATCGCCTACGTCGTCGCCGCGGACGCCGCGGCGAGCAACGACGGCATGAACTGCCCCGTCGCCGACCTCTCGACGGCGCCGCCGTCCGCGGCGCCCACGGAGAGCTGCGCGACGCGCAAGACGGCCGTCTGCTGGGCCGACGGCGGCGTCGCGCCCTTTGGGTGCGACGACTTCGCGCCCGTGCAGATCCTGCGCGCCGAGGGCGACGACGCCTACAGTGCGATGCGCTTCGACCTCGCGTCGGGCACCTACGGCTTCCTCTTCGCCCTCGACTACTTCGACGGCGACGCCGTCAACGGCGCTGGGCTCCTCGAGATCGGCGGCGCCGCCTACGCGATGGCGGCCTTCGACGACCGGCTCTGCCGCTTCGACGGCGACGGGTCCCTCTGCTTCGACGGCGCGCTCGCCTACGACTACCCGAATGTCGCCGCCGTCGTCGGCACGACCTACTACTACTCCAAGTCGCCGGGCAAGAACGACAAGTCCTTCTACTTCGTCGAAAACGTCCACACGGACGACCCCGTCTTCGTCGACGACGCGGCCTTCGTCGTGTCGCCGGACCTCTTCTCCTCGTCCCTGGGCGACGTCGTGCCGATCGTCGAGCGCGACGGCGCGGCGAGCGTCGTCGACGACGGCGAGGACTACCGGACGTACCTCGTGGGCCTCGGCCGCGCGTTCGAGGTCGTCGTCGTCCGCCTCGACGCGGACGGCCGCTACCCGGAGGCCTACGCGGTCCTCGCGAGCGCCGTGGACTGGGGCGCGTACAACGCGACGCTCCCGGACGACAGCGCCTTCGGCGCGGGCTTCGGCTACGAGCTCGACACGGGCGAGAACCAGGTCTTCTTCGCGAACAACGACGGGTTCGGCATCTTCGAGGTCGAGCTGCCGCTCGCGGTGCCGTCGACGTGCTGGAACGCGGGCTCGTCGACGGCCTTCCACGCGCTCTGCTCCGCGACGGCGGCCGTGACGCGGCGCACGGACGCCGCGGCGGTCGCGAGCAACGACGGCTTCAACTGCGCGGGCGACGGCGGCAGCCCCATCGACACGATGCCGCCGACCGTCGCGCCGACGCTGCCCTGCGCGGAGGACCCGGGCCGGGGCACGTGCTGGGCCGACGCGTCCGTCGCGCCCTGGGACTGCGGCGCGTACCCCTACCCCGTCCAGGTGCTCCGGCTCTGGGACGACGCCGCGGGCGCGTACGAGGACGACTACGCCGTCGCGTCCGTGAACATCTGGCAGGGCACGTTCGACGTGCTCTACCACATGACCTACGCGTCCAGGGTCAACGCCGTGGACCTGCCCTTCAGCGACAACCACGACGAGTACGTCGTCGCCGAGATCATCTTCGCGGCGACGGCCGAGCAGGCGCCGCTCGCGCCGTACCGCTGCAACGTGTCGTCGCCTCGCGCTCACGACGCCGTCCGCGCTCTCGACCTACTCGTCGACCTACGGCGGCTACGCGGCCGCCTCGAGCTCGAACACGAGCGGCTTCCTCCGCTCCTGGTGCGACTCCATCTGCCACGACGAGCTCGGTCCCGTTTCCATCGACGACCAGGTCGCCTGCTCGATCCTCGACGGCAACCAGCCCGGCGGCTCCACCAAGCTCGAGTACGAGTAGAGTGAGCCCGCACTAGACCGGCCTACTCAGGAGACGACGAGGCGCTTGCGCACGGTCACCTTGGGCGTCTCGCCCGGGGCCGCGCGCCAGAAGCGTAGGATGGTCCTCTCTCTCAGGGAAGGGATTTTGAGCTGGGTCATCGGCACGCGGACGTGGACGAGGACGTTGTAGCCCTTCTTCTTGAGCTGGCTGATGATGAGGTCGCAGGGGGGCGTGCCAAAAAACGCGGGGACATTCTCCACGAAGCCGGCCTCGAGCTGCTTGTGGGTGTCGTGGTAGAGGAGGATCCAGATGAAACGCGCCTGCGTAGGAATCGTACTGAAGGTGAGAATATTTGCGCGCTCGGGACACGACTCTTTCGACCATCGTTCGAGATCTCGACCGTCCTTCGAAAGCTCGACGAGAGAACACGAGTCGTCCAAAAGTCGGGCGAAACGACGTCGATGTGACCGAGACTGAAGTTCGGGTACCGCGCGGAAGCGCGCCACGAGCCAGACGTGGCTCCGGAGGGCAAACGGTAGAGTATCGTTGATCTTGGATGACCTAGAATGGCCGCGGCACGGGCCGGTGGCATTAAGAAAAAGTGAAGAGCCGCTCTTGAGCGCCTTCCTGGCGATGCCGGACGCCTCGGCCGCGTCTTCGAGGTCAGCGGCGACCTACGAAGCACCCCGACGACGATTTCGTGTCGCCCCGGTCGAACACTCTCGAACGTAGCCACAGCCAGGACGCCGGCGGCCACCTTGCGCCCAAGCACGCCCATCTCATTGCAGAGCTTGAGGCGCTCGTCGTCGTTGTCCGTAGACAGCGACGCGGAGGAGCCGAGCCCTCCGGCCTGGCATCCGAGGGTGCCGAAGCCGGCGCCGACCCCGACGGAGAGCACCGCCGTGCCCGGGGACACGGCGCCGGCCTTGATCATCTGCTCCTGCGTGCGTGCGTGCGTCGGACCGAAATGAAGCCCTCGGCGTTCGGCCCCGCGCGGTCGAATCGTAGGCGTTTTTGGTCGATTCTGCGACGAGCGATCGCCTCTCGTCTCGACGCGACGCGCGACCTTCCACACGCCGTGCCGCGCGGTGATGCAGCGCGCGGCCCTGGGCATGAGCGCGTCGGCGAGCATGTGGCCGGCCTGCGCGCGATCGATAACGCAGGGGCAGGGCAAGGATCGGGATGCTCACCTTGGTTTTGTTTCCTCTCGCCTCGGCGAAGTTCAGAAATGCCTTCCGCTGCTTCACGTTTAATTCAAAGATGCCACAAAGCCGGGACGCCGACGACTGGAACTTGTCCGGCACTTTGACCTTGCCGTTCGCGGCCTTCTTCGAGGAAAAGCCGGAGGCCTTGATGGCGGCGATGTCGTCGTGGTTCTCGACGGTCGACAACGCGCTTAGACAGGACCGACGTAACGTCGGCAGAAACCTGCGTGGCGTGCGCTAGCTCCGTGAATTCGACGTCGTCTGGGCGGCGCGGGGCCGAACGTCGACGTCGTGTCGAATAATTGTTTGGACCTCGGACCTACACGGGATGCAAATCTGCGCGAAGCGGCAGTCGCGAGTTGGCGCCGGTGTGGACCATTTCTGGAGTGGAGCGCCAAAAACGGCGCCCCGCCGGGACCCTCGAGGTCGCGAAGGGAAGGGAGCCGTTCTTGGGCCGTCTCTCTCATAAGGCTCTCTAATTTCTCGACCGTGCACATTTGGGGGCGCTCCACGATGGCCTTCGTGAGGTCAATCCAGCCGACGGCGCCGCGCGGGTGCTCGTAGGGGATGAAGGTCTCGTAGACGATGACGTCCTCGAAGACCCAGGCGTGGACCTGTGTGGAAATCAACCAGTGAGCTGGGACGTCGGGGCCAAACTTCAGAAATCTCTAGCTCGGTCAAATCGAAGTCGATTCGGCTGATTTTTGGACGAATCGATTGCTCTCGTCGAGTTCTCGAAGCACAGCGAAAGAATCTGGTCCAAATCGTTCGATTACGCGCACATTGAAGTCGGGTTGAAGGTTTGATTTCCACACAGGCGTGGACCTTTTTGTACTCGACGCTTTCGCGGAGCTCGTCGGCCGTGTCGGGCTCGCCGTCGTCGCGCGCGTGGACGCAGTGCTGCGGCTGGAGCGCGAGTAGCTCGACGTTGGTCAGCGGGCCCCGGGCCTCGGCCAACAAGCACTCGCCCATGACCATTGACCTGCCGCGCGACGATGACGATATTTCGACGTTTCCCCGGCCAAAAATCTCGAAATTCGGACGCAGGCGTTGACGACTTGGAGCAGATCAATCCAATCCGCTGGCCGACCTTGGCCGTGCCCTTGCCGCGGAGCTCGACCGTCTTCTCCCCGCGCAGGATCTTTTCGAGCCACTCGGCCTTGATGGGCAGCCCAAATTCGGGGCGGTCTCCGGGCTCGACGCGCGCCGTCGACGCCAGCGCGGCGTCCATCTGGGCCACGACCTCGGCCTTCTTCGCGTCCGCGGCGGACGAGCCGCTGGGCTCCGGCGGGAGCGCGCGCGGCCGTTCCGGCGGGAGCGCGCGCGGCCGCCGCAGCTCGTCCTCGCCGTCGTCGCTGTCGAAGTCGACGTCGTCGTCGGAGACGTCGTCGTCGGAGATGACGGCGACGGAGAGCTCGCCCGCGTCCAAGCCCATGGCCCCGGCGCCGTCCTTGCAGCTGTCGCCGTCGCCGCCGTCGTCCCTGCGGCCGTCGCCGCCGCCGCCGCCGTCGTCCTCGCCGAAGTAGAAGCCGCCGGGGCCCAAGTCGTCGGCGACCACGCCCGCCTGCGTGTAGACCTTGCCCGCGTCCGTGTACCGCACGGTGACCGTTTCCACTACTGCCTCACACCTTCTGATCCAGCCGTCTTCGTCCCGCCACAAGACGTCGATCGGGAGCTCTTTATGGAGCCGGCGCCACTGAAGCTTGCGTCGCGTCGCCTCCGCGGCCGCTCGCCGCGCCGCTCGCGCCGCCACCGCCGCTTGCATCACCTTGAAGACCCGCAGGCGCGCGAGAAATCTCGTCGACTTCTCGCTCGGCTCGCTCCAGAATTTCAGCGCGAACGCGTCGCGCATCTTGATTTTCCTCTCGATGTGGCGTTCGAGCAGCGCGCGGCGCTCCTCCGCAGCTTCTCGCGCTTCGCGCTTCTCGTGCTCGATGGTGACCGCGCTCAAAACGGTGTAGAGGCGCCTGCGCACCTTCTCGGTAACTTTCCTCAGCTCGTCATCTTCCAACTTCGCATTCGCCCGCACGTTATACAGCTTCATTTGCTCCTTGATTTTAGAGGGGTCCGTCTCCTTCATCTTGTGTATCGCCAGAAGGTCGCGCTTTAGCGCGCGCGCGCCATCGAGGCACGGCACGCGGTCGAAGTCCTCCGCTGTGACGCGAAAACCACCCATAGCGGCGCACGTGCTCGCGTTCCGCGAAGCGCTCGGCGAAGAGGAGCCGGAGCTCGGCCTCGACGACGAGGCGGCCAAGGCGCCGGCCGTGCTCCAACCCGAGCGCCGCGCGACGCTCCGGAAAGCCGTGGGCCTCGACGCGACCGACCGAGGTGCTCGAGTCGATGCACCAGGGGCACGAGCGCCTCGCGGAGCGCTTCGCGGAGCGCGCCGACCGCGGCGCGTATCGCAGCTGCGCTCGGTGCTGCACGAGTCGAACGATCACCAGCGACGTGCGAAGCGGAGCGACGTCAGAAACGGGCAGCCATGCTCGGCCAGCGCCCCTTCAACATTGCTTCGTTTTGCCACAGCAAGGTCGGTGTTCCTCGCCGTCGCCGTCGCGGCCCTCCTGGCCTGCCGCCGCGCGATCTTCGCCTAACTTAGCCGCGCGCGGCCGGCGCGTCGAAGGCGCGCGCCGCGGCGAAGTCGTCGAGGGTCTCGCGCGCGCGGTCGAGCTTGTCGAGGAGCGCGGCGGCGGCGTCGCGGCGCGCCGCGAGGTCCGGGTCCTCGGCGAGGAGGCCCGCGATGGCGCCGTCGGAGTACGCGTGCGTCGCCTCGGCGACGCGGAGCGCGAGGTCGTGGCCAAACTCCTGGACGAGGTACATGTCGACGGCCATGGGCACGAGGTCCGCGACGCGGCGCTCGAGGATCTCGAAGTAGCGGTCGACCTTGGCCCGGAGGAAGTCGCGCGCGTCGCGGCGGCCCGGCCGCGCGGCCGCCGCGCCCTTGGCGGCCGGCGGCGGCGGCCGGTTCCAGCTCCCGAAGGGCGACGCCGTCGGCTGGGCGCGGAAGGCCGCGTCCCGGGGCGGCGGCGGCTCGTCGTCGTCGTCGAGGGGGTCCAGGGTGAAGGGCTGGCGCTGCGTGCGGAGGAGCACGTCGAGCGCGGCGACGGCCGCCGCGTGCTTCGCGTCCGCGAGGTCGCGCGCGACGTCGTCGACGGCGGCGCCGAGCGCCGGGAAGCGCGCGCCGAAGGTCGCGGACGCCGTCGTCCGCGCGAGGCGCAGCACGCGGGCCCGCACGCGCGCCGCGCACGCCTCCGCGGGCGCCGCCAAGTCGCCGACGACGTCTCTCACCAGACTCGCGAAGGCCGCGTAGGACGGGAAGCCGTAGAAGGCCTCGCGGCCGTGGCGGCCCTCGACGGCCTCGGCGACGCGGTGCGCCGTCGCGTTGTCGTCGCCGGGCCAGAGGCCTCGAAGGGTCGCGTGGAAGCCCCGGTACTCGTCCAAAAGCTCCGCGGCGAAGCTCCGGCCGCCGGTGTCCGCGTCGCGGCCCAGCGTCGCCTCGCGCACGGCCGACGCGAAGTCCGTCGTCAGCGACACGAGGAAGGCCTTGCGCCCGGACGCGCTCCGCGGCGGCGGCGCCGCGCCGAGCGCGGCGAGCGCCGCGCGCGCCTCGGCCGCGCGCGCGTCGACGCGCGCGCGGAGGCCCGGCGCGTCGGCGGCGATGTGGGCGCCGAGCACGTCACCGAGGTGGGCGACGAGCCGCGGCACGCCGAAGCGGGCCGGCCGCGCGTCGCGGAGCGCGGCGAGCCGGTCGTCGAAGAAGGTTCGTTCGCGATCGAGCGCGTCGGCGACGGACGCGCGCGCGTCGAGCGCGCGCTGGCCCCGGTTCAGGACCACGTACCAGCCGTGGGCCGCCAGCTTGACGACGTGGCCGTCGAGGATGGCCGCGAGCGAGCCCTCCGTGCCCGGGTCCATGAGGTCGGGCTTCGTGAGGACGCCCACGGTCCGGGCCCCGTCCGGGTCCGCGTCGCGCGCGAGCTTGAGCGCCTCCGCCGTCGCGAGGTCGGCGTTGCAGGGCACGACGACGAGGATCACCGTGCGCGCCGGCGCCGCGTAGCGCTGCGCCAGAGCTTTCGTCACCGCGGGCACGTCGCGGCTCTGGCCCTCGACGGAGACGCGCGCGAGCCCCGGCAGGTCCACTAATGTCAAATCCGGCGCGCTCGGGCTGCTGATCGTGCACCGCACGGCGCGCTCGCTGACGCCGCCGCCCGCGCGCACGAGCTTGCGCATCGTCGCGTTCAGCGCCTCCCCGACGCCGTCGCAGCCGACGCGCGTCCGCTCGTCGCTCCCCTCCGCGGAGACGACGGCGCGGCACCCGGGCGACGCGCTCCGCACGAGCCGCAGCTCGATGGGCGCGCGCGTCACGAAGCCCGTGCCCCGCAGCAGCTGCACGCCCGAGATCGCCTCGAGCACGCTCGACTTGCCCGCGGACTGGTCGCCGACGACGACGATCCGCGGCAGGTCCAGCTGCGTCCCGAGGCCCAGGGACCGCAGGCCGTCGTTGAGGTCCAGCAACGCGCGGAACGCGGGCCGCTGCTCGTAGACCGTCGAGAGCGTCGAGGGCGACGGGGTAACGGTTGTTTTGAACGTCGTGGCGTTGCTGGCCGCGTCGGCGAACGCGCAACGCGTGCCCTCGTCGCAGGCGTCGTCCTGGGCGGCGACGACCGCGACGAGGGCCGCGAGGAGGCGCAGGCGCCTGCTGGTTTGAGCGCAGAAGGCGACCATGTTGCGCGCCATAGGCCGGAGCTGAACTGCCACAAGGACGGACAAAAGATCTTTTTTGTTTGCAGCAAACCTCGCGCGGCCCGCCTTTCGAACGGGTCGGCCGCCCGCCGTGCTCGCGAGTTGGCAGCCGCACGGCGCCGCAGACCAGCCCCCGCAGCCATCCGTGCTGGCCGTCGCGCAGCGGACGCACCACCAGCCCCCGCCGCGGCGCCCGAGTCGCCCGAGCTCCCCGCGCGGCCGCCGCCGTCCGCCGCGCCGCACCCGGCGCTCGCGTCCGCCTTCGCGGCCGACAAAATGAACGTCCAGAAGCGGCGCAGCGTCGATGGCGGCCCCGGCAAGCCCAAGAGCACGCTGGCCGCCATGCAGGACATCGAGAAGAAGCGCCAGGAGCGGCGGCAGCAGATGGAGGAGCGCAAGGTGCGCCGCGCGCGGCGGGACCCGCGCGACCCGCCCCGTGAATCGCCCCTTCGTAGGCGGACAAGCGCGCGGAGGAGAAGCGGAACGCGGAGCAGGGCCTCCTGGGCGACGCGGACTTCGTGAAGATGATCGGCGCGTGGCGCGAGGCGCGCCCCACGGGCGCGCCGCACGTGCCCTTCGACTGCGGCGACGTCGCGACGGCGGGGAGCGGCAACGAGATCTGCATCTGCGTGCGGAAGCGGCCCATCGGCCGGCGGGAGGTCGCGGCGAACGACCACGACGCGGTGTCGTGCGTGCACCCGGCCGTCGTCGTCCACGACTGCCGCCACCGCGTCGACGGCATCACCAAGTACCTGAACAACACGCAGTTCGCCTTCGACCACGCGTTCTCCGAGGCCGTCGAGACCGAGGAGGTCTACGCGTGCGTCGGCGCGCCGCTCGTCGACTTCGTCGTGTCGCGCCGGGGCCGCGCGACGATCTTCGCCTACGGCCAGACGGGCTCGGGCAAGACCTACACGATGGAGGGCATCCAGGACCGCGCGGCCTACGCGGTCTTCACGGCGCTCGGGAACGCCGGCGGCGTCAACGTCGGCGTGTCGTTCTTCGAGATCTACGGCGGCCGGTGCCAGGACCTGCTGCGGGACCGGGCGCGGCTCCAGGTCCGCGAGGACGGCAAGGGCGAGGTCAACGTCGTGGGCCTGTCCGAGGCCGCCGCGCCGTCGCCGGAGGCGCTGCTCGAGACGATCCGCGAGGGCAACGAGCTCCGGACGAAGCAGCGGACGGAGATGAACGACGCGTCGTCGCGGTCGCACGCGATCTGCTCCATCTGCCTCCGGGAAAAGGCGTCGGGCAAGCTGCTGGGCAAGCTGAGCCTCGTGGATCTGGCGGGCAGCGAGCGCGGCCAGGACACGCGGAGCCACAACCGCCAGCTCCGGACGGAATCCGCGGAGATCAACAAGAGCCTGCTCGCGCTCAAGGAATGCATCCGGGGCCTGGCGACGCGCGACGCGCACGTGCCCTTCCGCGCGTCCAAGCTCACCATGGTGCTCCGCGACTCCTTCGTGCGGCCGCACTGCCGCGTCGCCATGATCGCGACGGTGTCGCCGTCCGTGTCCGCGACGGACCACACGATCAACACGCTCCGCTACGCGGACCGCGTCAAGGAGAAGCAGCCCCACGCCGTCCAGCCGCTGTCGGAGCGCAACGCGGCGGCCGAGGCCAACGAGCGCCGCGGCGGCGCCAAGGACGACCGGCCGCCGTCCGCGCGCGCGCCCGGCGCCGACGCCGCGCGCGACCGGCGCCGGTCCGCGCCGCCGGCGCCGTCCGCGCCGCCCGCGCGGCCCGCGTCCGCGGCCGCGCGCCGGTCCCTGGGCGCCGGCGCGCCGGGCCGCGCCGACGACGCGCCGCGCGGCGCGCCGCCCCGGGCGGCGGCCGCGCCCGCGCGGCCGCCGCCGCCGGACGCGGACGCCAAGTTCGGCTACGCGCCGCCGGCCAAGGCCGCGCCGCGGCCCCGCGACGAGGCCAAGGACGACGTCAAGGCCGGCCCCGACGACCCGCGGCCCGCGGTCGTCGCGCCCGCGCCGCCCGCGCCGCCGCGCGGGCGGCGGCGACGACCCGCCCGAGGTCCTCCGCTCCCCGCACGGTGGACAGCCTCTTCGAGGAGGAGGAGGCGCTGCTCAACGCGCACATGAACGTCATCCAGGAGAACGCGGAGCTCCTCACGGAGGAGGGCCGCATGCTCCAGCAGGTCCAGGGCGGCGACGTGCCCGACTACGACATCGACACCTACGTGTCCCGGCTCCAGGCCATCCTCGACCGCAAGGCCGAGCAGATCGCCACGCTCCAGGCGCAGCTCCACAAGTTCGCCAAGAAGCTCCGCGAGGAGGAGGACCAGTCCCAGCGCGTCCACCAGATGCCCATGTGGTAGGCGCCGCGCGCGAGCGCGCGCCCGCCCGCGTCACCCCGGGCCCACGTAACCGTCGCTATCTTGGTCGCGCGCCCCTGGCCCACGCCACGCGCCGCTCTCTTGGTCGCGCGCCCGCCCGCGCCCGCCCGGGCCCACGCCACAGTCGCTATCTTGGTCGCGCGCCCCCGTCCACGCCACCGCCGCTCTCTTGGTCGAGCTTAGGCGAGGGGGGCGCGCGCGCGTTTTTTCGAGGGGGGCGGCGGCGGCGCCGCGGCCTAGTAGGGGCGGTAGCCCTTGTAGTAGCCCTTGCCCTTGCGGCCCTTGCCGCGGCCCCGGCCGCGGCCGCGGCCGCGCCCTCGGCCGCGGCCCTGGCCGGGCACGTTCGTGCGCTTCGCGACGACCTTGAGCTGGCGGCCTTTGAAGATCGAGTTGTCGAGGAGCACGGCCGTCGGCACGGACGCGGGCTCCTCGAACTCGACGTAGGCGTAGCCCTTGGACCGGCCCGTGAACTTGTCGCAGAGGATGGTCACGCGGTTGATCGTGCCGCAGGCCGCGAAGTGCGCCTGGAGCTCCTCGGGCGTCGCGTCGTAGTCGACCTGCCCGACGTAGATGGACCGCTCGTCGGTGTCGTTCTCCTTCTTCGCCTCGGCGCCCGTCTCGACCTGGAGCTCCTGCTGCATGGCCTTGAGCTTCGCCGCCTCGTCCTCCATCTCCTGGACGCGCCGCTTCATCTCCTCGAGCTCGGGGTCCACGGCGCCGTCGCCGCCCTCGTCGCCGCCGGCCTCGGCGTCGTCGGCGCCGGCGTCGTCGTAGTCGACCTGCTCCTCCTCGTCGGCCATGGCGCGTGCAACGGGAACCGGCGCGCGGCCGGTCGCTGTGTCGGTTCGGCGCGCGGTCGGCGGCGCGAGGCGGCGACTGCGGCGGCTCAACTCGCGAGAAGGTTGCTGGCGTGAAGGCAAGCTCGCCCTATTCGGCAGTGCCATCCCCCACCCAGCCCTGTCCACGAGTCCTCCCACACCCTTGGTGGTGCGCAGCCCCATGGGCGCCGCGGCGTAGGCCTCCCATGCAGCTCCAGAGCATGCCGAGCGCGGCGTGCGACGACGGCGACGCCGACGCGCCCGCGTCCGAGGCGCGGCCCGTGACGCCGGAGCGGCCCGGGTCGGAGGACGCGCCGGCGTGCGACGCCGGCGCCGACGACGACGACGCCCGCAAGCAGTCGCTGGCGAAGGCGCTCGACAGCCACGGCGCGCACCGCCACGAGACCTGGATGGAGCTCATGACGGACCTGCTCTTCGTGAGCCTCGCCTACAACTGCGGCTACATCATCAAGGACTGCGGCGTGTCCAAGGCCATCCACGCGACGTGGATCCCCTTCTTTAGCTGCTACCAGGCCTGGCTCGACGTCACGCTCTACGCGAACCGCTTCGCGTCCCCGGCGGCGTCCCGCGGCCGCGACGACGGTCGAGAGATTTCGAGAGGCGAAGACGACGAGCAACGGTAGGTCCATGGACATCTACCACGGCTGCTGCTACGGGCTGAGCGCGCTGGGCATCTTCCTCATGGTGCTGAACGCGAACACGGGCGCGGACGGCGCCTACCTGGGGTGCACGGGCTTCGCGAAGACCGACGCGTCGTACGCGCGCGCGTTCCTCGTCGGCTTCGGCGCGAACCGCTTCGCGGTGGCGATCCTCAACGCCATGGCCTTCGAGTCGAACCGGGAGCTGCTGGGCACGCGGACGGACGCGGCGCTCGCGACGGCGGAGACCGTCGCCGTCGTCTGGGCCGCGGGCGTCGACGGCGCGGACATCCGCGTCGTGCCCGCGCTCCTCTTCATGCGCATCGCCTGGCACGTGCTCGAGGTCGTCGCGCTGCACCTGCTGGGCTCGCGCGCCTTCGAGCGCCACACGCGGCGCGCGCACGTCCACGAGGAGCACCTCATCGGCCGCCACACGGCCATCACGATGATCATGCTCGGCGAGGCCGTGCTCCAGCTCACGACGGGCGTGTCGACGCTCGACGCGCACGAGAGCGGGTCCTACACCTTCTCCGTCGCCGGTTTCACGCTCGTCTTCGCGCTCGCCGTGCTCACGTTCAACACGGTGCCGCGCATCGGCATGCACGCGCTCGGCCGGTCGAAGAAGCGCGGCGCGGTCTGGCGCATCCTGTCGGCGCGGCCCCGCGCCAGTTCCGAGCGAACGGCCGGGAAAAAACGAATTCTCCTAGGCGCTGTCGAGCTACTACATCCTGCTCGTGGGCTGCGCGATCAAGCTCGTCGAGATGGACCTGTCGCCGGCGGCGTCCGACGGCGACGCTCTTCTCGTAAACCGCATCCTCGTAGGTCGACGAGCTACTCCTGCAAGGACTACTCGGCCGCGGAGATGCCGTCGTACCCGTCCGACGACGACCATCGCGACGACGACCATCGCGACGACGGCCACCGCCGGCGGTTTCTCGCGGATGGGTACGCGCCGGCGGCGGCGTGCCCGGACTCCCTCGTCAAGGAGGGCCACGCGAGCTTCATGAGCTTCTCGCTCACGGGGGCCATGGTCTGCTACCTCGTCATCCGCCTGAACCACAAGGGCTTCGTGCTCAGGAACGTCGCGCGCCTCTACGCCTACGGCGCGCGCGCGGTCGTCTCGCTGGGCCACGTGCTCATCTTCCTCTTCTACCGCGACGACCTCTCCGCGGACCGGCTCCTCGTGCGCCACGCGCTCGCGGCCGTCGCGGCCTGCGTCCTCGACGGGCTCCTCACGTTCGTCGACTTCTTGCTCGCCGGCAAGCACCGGCGCGACGACGACCACGTCGAGTTCGCGGCGGTCCACGAGGAGGGCTTCAGCCGCCCCTCGCGCAGCATCCTCGCGCGGCGCTTCTCGGCCCACGTGCGGCCCCGGTCCGTCATCCAGCGCGTCCTCGAGCGCCGCCGGCTCTTCGACGCCGTCCGCCGGAGCTCGACGTCGCTCCGCAAGAGCGACCCCGGCGCGGCGCCGGAGCCGGCGTCGCCGCAGGGGCCCTTCCGCAAGTCCGCGCCCGGCCGGACCTCGTCCGTCGACGCGCGGGACGGCTCCTTCGTCGAGCTCCGGGGAAGCTCCGTCGGGGGAAGCTCCGCGGCCCGGCCGCCGCCCGCGTCGCCGCGGACCGTCCGCTTCTCCGATAACCTCGTGTGAACCAGCCGGGGTGGCCCTGTCCCGAAGTCTGTCCCGTCTCAGTGCCCGTGGACCGGCGAGCTCATGATGATGTCGCACTTCATCAATTCGGGCATCCACCCTTGTTGGAACAGCTAAAATTCCATCGTGCCCGCGCGATGTACAGCATGCGCGCGATCCTCGCGCTCGCCGTCGGCGCCGCGGCCTTCGGCAGCAGCTCCAGCGCCACCTCCTCCGAGGACCTCGAGAGCATCGAGGCGACGCTGGACCACGTCGAGGAGATGGTGCGATCCCGCGTCCAAACGCTGCCCCAAACACCCGCCTCGCAGCCCCTCCACACTGCGCGTCGCAGGTCTACAACCACACCTACACGCCGTCCGCGCCCATCGGCACCACGACGCTCGGGCACGGCGTCGACCCGGACGACTACTCGACCTTGGACGACTACCAACTGCCCATGCGCCGCCGCCTCGAAGACGGGGAGAGCCTCGGCGTGCTCGGCCTGGGCTCGGGCGACTTGAACTTGTTCGAGCGCGCGGGCTTCGTCGTGTCGTTCGACTGGGAGTGCCAGACCGGCACGAGCGGCGGCGTGTACCCGTGCCCGAACGGCATCCCTTCGACGTGCCGCGCGAACACGGGCGGCGTGTCGTCGGTGTGCGCCAAGTGCTACTGCGAGGTCGGGAGCCACACGTGCTGCCCGTACTACAGCGAGAACAACACGTACTCGGAAGACGGCTACTGGTACGGGGGCTTCGAGTGCCCGTCGGCGCTCCTCAGCGGCGGCGAGCTCGTGACCGACTCGGCGGTCAACTACTGCGAGGTCGGCGACGCCGTCTCCGCGCTCTACGACGACGGCGAGTCCTACTCCGCGACGGTCTCCGAGGTGACGGGCAGCGACATCACGGTCACGTACTCGGACGACGACACGTCGACCTACGACCTCACGGAGTCCGGCAACGTTGTGCAGACCGCGAGCGGCGCGGACTGCGTCACGACCTGCGACTCGTCGACGCTCGACACGGAGGTCTGGGGCAACCAGTGGTGGAACGACCCGTACGTGTCGCAGTCGTACATCAACTTCAAGGTGACGCGCTACGAGATGGCGGACGCGTTCGGCGTCGAGTTCTACTCGACGGAGGGCGACACGCTCAAGGTCTTCTCGACGGGCGACGTGCACTTCAAGCCGGACAACGCGGAGCGCACGGTGTACATCAACGAGCAGGTCGAGTACGAGAGTACGAGTACGAGACCGACATCGACCGCCGCCTCTCGACGGCTGAGGCCGTGCTCGGGGACATCGACCTCACGCTGCCCATCGACCACGCGCGGCTCGTCGAGGCGCGGTACCGCCACAGCAACACGCGCGGCGGCTCCCAGAAGCCCGCGGCCGCCTCGGAGGTCCCGAGCCCGAAGGGCGAGCCCGTCGCGCAGAAAGACGCGACCGTCAAGAAGGTCCGGCGTCTCCTCGGCCGCCGCGGCGGCAGCTTCATCTCCTCCGTGGGGTCGTACTCGATATGCGGCCACCATGGCGGCCTCTGCGGGAGCAACCGGGCGGGCAACGACAGATCTGATCATCCCTGGACCGTTAACATTTCTCGCCGGCGGGATATGTTAAACGCCGCTTAAATTTGGCCGGCGGGATATGTTACGATGCCCCGTCTCGGCGCCCCGCGGACGGGTCTCCGACGCGTCTCCCGGCGAGCTTACGTCCTTCCCCCGGCGTCACGCGGCGGCGGCGGGCGCGGGCCTCGTCAGGTCGCCGAGGATGCGGTCCACGGTGCCGCGCGCGTGGCCCTCCTCGGCGACGAGGCCCAGGACGTGCTCCGCGAGGAGGTTCGCGAAGGCCGTCATCGGGTCGCACTCCGGGTACTTGCGGAGCGCCATCTGATAGAGCGCCTCGAGGAAGTGGTTGTAGTCGAGGCGCCGCTCGCCGTGGGCGACGGCGTGGGAGAAGATGATGTCCGTGTCCGACTTGGTGAAGTACTTGGTGTAGAGGTCCGGCGTCTGGTTGCAGAGCTTGGCCCAGTTCACGTTGTCGAGGCGCTGCTCGCTCTTGCCCGACGCCGACGTGCGGCCGAAGCGGCAGTAGTGGTGGAACACGGCCTTGAGCACCTCGTGCGTGCTGTGGTCCTCGGGCAGCGCAAAGCGCTCCATGCCGCCCCGCGGACGCCGCGGCGCGACGACGTTCCAGCCCGCTCGGCGGGGCAGCCTCTCGTTGCGGCGGCAGCATCGGCCCAGGCACCAGGTGGCTGAAGCTGTCGCTGAGGTGCCACCGCATGGGCCATCAGCTCGGCCAGCTCTCGATAGGACCTGCATGCCGGCGCGCCGCTTCCCGTTGCCACTCCTCGCGATGGCAGCCCTCGCCTCGACGCTGCAGCCGCGCACGCAGACCATCTCCTTCGCGCGGCACGGCCAGGCGCAGCACAACGTGCGCGCGGAGCGCATGCGCGACGAGGGCTGCGACTTCGACGCGTTCATCGCGCAGATGAAGGTCGACGACGCCTTCGACGCGGAGCTCACGGAGCGGGGGCGGGAGGAGGCGCGCGCGGCCCACGCGGCGCTGCCCGCGGGCGTTTCGCCGGAGCTCGTCGTCGCGTCGCCGCTGAGCCGCGCCATCGAGACCGCGCGGATCCTCTACCCGGACCGCGCCGCCGCGGGGACCTTCGTCGCCGTCGAGGAGCTGCGCGAGTGGAGCGGCCAGCTCGAGAACGGCCGGCGGCGGCCGAGCGCGGAGCTCGCGGCCAAGTTCCCGGGGCTCGACGTGGCGCAGCTGCCGGCCGACGAGACGAACTGGGACCCCGTCGACCTCGAGGCCGAGGCGTCCGTCGCGGCGCGGGGGCTCGCCGCGCTGGCCTGGCTGGCGAAACGGCCCGAGGACAGGATCGCCGTCGTCGCCCACGGCGGCTTGCTGGCGGTGCTCTTCGACGGGCCGCACCACGGCGGCCACACGACGGACTTCGTCGACGACCCGGACAACGTCCTCGGCCCGCGCTTCGCGAACTGCGAGGTGCGCACCGTGCGCGTGACGACGCACCCGGGACCGAGGTACGTTGTTTCGCGAGTGTAAAAAGGTCAACATCACTGCATGTTGAGGTCGAGGCTCGGTCCGCCGGAGAGCGCGCGGGACCGATCCCTCGTCCCTCGTGCGACGTGCTCCCACCTGCTGAGACGATGACGACGCCGTTGAAGAAGGCGAAAGACACTAACGCACGCGTTGCGCTCGACTGGGAGCAGGAGCTCCACCGGCTCGTGCGCCTCGTGGGCGACGACGCCGAGGCGCTCGAGCGCGCCGCCAGCGCCGTCGGCGGCGGCGCGGCGGACGACTCGCCCGCGGTGGCCGCGATCGCGCGCCACTGCGCCGCCGGCCCGGCGAACGCGACGGCGCTCGCGGCGTCGGCGCTCATGTACGCGCACACGCGCGCGGAGCAGCGCGAGGTCCTCGACGCGTTCGAAGCGTCGCAGCGCGACATCGACGAGGTCGTGCGCGCCGTCGAGGTCATCGAGATCTCCGACGACGAGGCGGAGGACGTCCTCGCCGTCGCGGACTCGGACAGCGACGTCGAGCTCGTCGACCCGCCCGCGGCGGACGACGACGCGGCGCTGGCCCGGCGCCTCGCCGCGGACGAGCGGCGGGCCGAGCGCGCGCGCCGCCGCCAGAGCGACGCGGACGCCAAGGTCGCGCGCGACCTCGAGCGCGCGGACGACGACGCGCGCCGCCGCCAGAGCGACGCCGACGAAAAGTTCGCGCGCGAGCTCGCCGGCGCCGGCGCGGCGGCGGCGGCGGCCGGCGCGGCGGCGCCCGCGGCCGGCGGCGAGTTCCGGGCGCTGCGCGTCGTCGTCCCCGGCGGCGACTCGGTGCGCCTCCGGCGCGTCCCCGCGGGGCGCGCGCTCGCGCTGATCTTCGAGCTCGTGCGCGAGCGCCTCGGCCTCGGGCCGCGCGACGACCCGCTCGCGACCTTCGCGCTCCTCGCGCCCGACGGCCGCCCGTTCTCGCGCGCCGAGATCCGCGAGACGACGATCGGCGCCGTCTGGGCCGGGCGCTCCGTCGTGCGCGTCGAGCGCCGCGCGAGCGTCGGCGCGGTCGTCCGGGGCGCGGGCGCCTTCGTCGGCCGCTGCGAGGTCATGCGCCTCAAGACGCCGACGGGCATCTTCTCCCCCATCGTCGTCGTCCGCGACTTCGCGGGCGACCGCGGCCTGCGCGTCTCGCGCCTCGTCGAGCGGCACTGCGACGCGCGCCAGAACGTCGGCAGCCGCGTGGCCACGGGCCAGCTCCGGGCGACCAAGGCCATCCGCGCCTACGCGAAAGCCGCGCGGAACGCCGCGCCGGCGCCGGCGGCGCCCGGGCCGCGCGCCGCGCCGTCCCTGCTCACGGCGGCCGCGGACGGCATGCGCAGCGGCAAGCACGGCGGCATGCGGCCCATCCCGCTGAATTCGCGTGGCACCGTCATCGGCGGCGGCGGCTTCGGCGGCGGCGGCGGCTTCGGTGGCGGCGGCGGCGCCTACGGCCGCGTCGCGGAGGCCTTTTCGGAGATCGCCGACGAGGTCCTCGACCTCGCGGAGGAGGCCGTGCGCGACGCTTCGCTCCTGCCCGCCGACGGGCGACTGGCCGACGACGCGACGCGGCGCCTCGCCGCCGCCGCGCTCTCGAACCGGCGCGCCTACTACCTCGCCCAGGCGATCATGTACCCCGCGTCGGGCTCGCTCCCGAACCACGTCGACGGCATGGGCCACTGGGTCGTCCTCTTCAGCCTCGGCAACTCGGCTCGATTCCACTGCGGCACGCCCAGCGGGGGGGCGCCGGGCGGCGCCATCTACGGGGCGACGGCGGGCGACGCGAAGTTCGACTTCGACTTCCGATCCGGCGACGCGCTCGTCTTCAACGGCGCGCCGGCCCACCTGGCGCTCCACGGCATGTCCCACGTCGCGCCCAACTCCCAGCCCAAGGGGCTCCCCGACTGGCTCCGGAACACGCGCGTCAGCGTGCAGATCCGCCAGGCGTAAGCCCGTACGTGTACGGCAACTTCGGGGGCCATATTTTGTTGACCCTCGCGACGACAAATCGTTAGCATCGGGACGAAGCGCCGCGCGGGGACGGGAGGCGCGATGTTTGGTGACTTCGACAACCCCGAATCGATGATTATGTGGTGCGCTCGAGGCCCACGGAGCCCGACGAGTCCCCCTCGAGTTCGACACTTCTTCCGGGGCCATGGGAAGCCGCCGGCGCCGCCAGCGCCGGCGCCGAAGAAGAAGGCCGTCGTCCCGAAGACGCCTGACATCGAACACATCATGGCCATCACGCCACCATCGCGCCGCCCGCTCGGCGAGCTCGACGCGAACTCGTTAACCGCTCGCGCGATCGCGACGCCCGCGAAGCCGTCGCGCGAGATCCCGTTCGCGATCGCCGAGCCCGTCGCGACGCCCGCGGAGATCACCGAGTGGAAGAAACCGGCGCGCGGCCGCGGGGGCGTCGCCATCGTCGCGGCGGTCGTCTGCGCGATCGTCTACGCGACGCACGTCTCCCGCGCGGCGCCGCCGACGATGCTCCTCGAGAAGCCGCCGCCGAACTACGTGCTCGTGCCGCCGCGCCCCGCGCCGACCACGGCCGCGCCCACGCCGGAGCCGCGCGTCGTGCGGGAGAGCCTCGCGCCGGCCGTCCCGGCCGCTCCGGAGCCAGTCCCGGCCTCTCCGAAGGCCCGCACCGAACCGTTCGCGCCCATCGTCCCCGCGGAGCCCTTCGTCTTCCTCTGCCCCGGCGCCCCAGACGACGCCGCGACGGACCCCGGCGCCCCGGACGCCGCCGCGACGGTACGCGTCGCGCCGCGCCAGCCCTCGCTCGACTTCCGCCACTCCCGCGTCCTCGTCGTCCACCCGGCCGCCCGCCTGCGCGGCCGGGCCGAGCGACTCCTCGCGCTGGCTCGCCTCCTCATCAAGCCCTTCCGCCCGCCGCCCCGCGCGGCGTGCATCACGCCTTTCTCATGCGTGTGAATTCCGCGAAGTAACGCCATGAAGTCTATACAGCTCGAGTCTAGCCAGTCCTCGACCAAAAGGGTCTTGAATGGTACTTACGCCTGCATGGCCTGGGTGAGCTCGTCGCGGACCGCGCGGAGCGTCTGGAGCTCGCCGGAGGCGTCGCGCGCGACGATGTTGACGAGGTTGTCGATGACGCGGGCCTTGGCGTCGAGCTTCGACTGGACGACGCGGAGCTTGTCGTCGAACTTCTTCTCGAGCGCGGCGAGGCGCTGCGCGACGTCGTCCCGGTAGGCGCGCTCCTGCTCGTCGTCGCTCTTCCGCCGCTCCTCGGCCGCGCGCAGCGCCTCCTCGCGCCGCGCCTCGATCGCGGCGAACTTGGCCTCCGACGCGGCGGCCGCCGCCTTGGCGAGCTCGTCGTCCTTGGCCTGCTTCTGCGCGGCGCGCTCGTCGTCGGCCTGCTGCTTCTGCGCGAGGCGCTCGTCGACGGCGGCGAACTTGGCGTCGACGCCCGCGGCCGTCGTCTTCGCCGAGTCGTCGTCCTTTTGCTGCTTCTGTTGCAGGCGCTCGTCGAGGGCCGCGAACTTGGCGTCGACGTCCGCCTTGGTCGTCGCCGCGTGAGCATCGTCTTTTTCCTGCTTCTGCTTGAGCCGCTCGTCGATCGCGGAGAATTTCCCGTCGACTTCGGCCTTGGTCGCCGCCGCGAGCGTGTCGTCCTTCTCCTGCTTCTGCGTGAATCGCGCGTCGACGTCCGCCTTGGTCGTCGCCGCGTGAGCATCGTCTTTTTCCTGCTTCTGCTTGAGCCGCTCGTCGACCGCGGAGAATTTCCCGTCGACTTCGGCCTTGGTCGCCGCGGCCGAAGCGTCGTCCTTCTCCTGCTTCTGCTGGCGCTGCTCCTCGAGGACCCGGAATTTCTCGTCGAGCGCCGCCTTGGTCGTCGCCGCGAGCGCGTCGTCCGCCGCCTGCTTCTGCTGGAAGCGCTCGTCGACGTCGGCCTTGGCCTTGGCCGCGAGCGCGTCGTCCTCGACCCGCTTCGCCGCGAGCGCGGCGGCCGCGTCGCTCGCCGCCGTGGCGATGGCGGCGTCCTGGACCTGGTTGTGCTCGTCGGCCATGACGGCGACGGCCTCGACGTTCGTGACGCGCTCCGCGAGCGCCGCGTCCGCGGCCGCGTTCTCCTTGGCCGCGGCGTCCGCCTTGCCGAGGCGCTGGTCGAGCGCGAGCTGCTTCTTGAGCGCCGCCTCCTCGTCCGCCTGCAGCTGCTCCTGGCGCCGCGCCTCGGCGGCGGCGAACTTGGCCTCGACCTCGGTCTTCGTCGTCGCCGCGAGCGCGTCGTCCTGCTCCTGCTTCTGCTTCAACCGCTCGTCGATCGCGGTGAACTTGCCGTCGACCTCGGTCTTCGTCGCGGCAACCAACGCGTCGTCCTGTTCCTGCTTCTGCTTCAATCGCTCGTCGAGGGCCGTAAATTTGCCGTCGACCTCGGCCTTGGTCGCCGTCGCCACTTCGTCGTCTTTCTGCTGCTTCTGCTGGCGCTGCTCCTCCATGGCCGCGAATTTGGCATCGAGCTCGGTCTTCGTCGACGCCGCCAACGCGTCGTCCTTCTCCTGCTTTTGGGCGAATTTCGCGTCGACGTCCGCTTTCGTCGTCGTCGCCAGTTCGTCGTCTTTTTGCTGCTTCTGCTTCAGTCGCTCGTCGAGGGCCGCGAACTTGGCGTCCACCTCGGTCTTCGTCGTCGCCGCCGATTCGTCGTCCTTCTGCTGCTTCTGCGCGAATCGCTCGTCGATCGCCGCGAACTTGCCGTCGACCTCGGTCTTTGTCGTCGCGGCCAATTCGTCGTCCTTCTCTTGCTTCTGCTTCAACCGCTCGTCGATGGCGGCGAATTTGCCGTCCACCTCCGTCTTCGTCGTCGCCGCCAAGGCGTCGTCCTGCTCCTGCTTCTGCTTGAACTTTGCGTCCACGTCCGTCTTCGTCGTTGCGGCCAACGCGTCGTCCGTCTCCTGCTTCTGCTTGAACTGCTCGTCGATGGCGGTGAACTTGGCGTCGACCTCAGCCTTGGTCGTCGCGGCCAACGCGTCGTCCGTCTCCTGCTTCTGCTTGAACTGCTCGTCGATGGCGGTGAACTTGGCGTCGACCTCAGCCTTGGACGTCGCCGCGAGCGCGTCGTCCTTCTCCTGCTTCTGCTTGAACTGCTCGTCGATCGCGGTAAGCTTTCCGTCGACCTCGGCCTTCGTCGTCGCCGCCAAGGCGTCGTCCTGCTCCTGCTTCTGCTTGAACCGCGCGTCGACGTCGGCCTTCGCCGCCGCCGCGAGCTCGCCGTCCTTCGTCTGCTTCTGCTCGAGCGCGGCGCGCATGTCGCCGGCCACCTTGGCGATGGCGGTCTCCTGGGCCTGGTTCGTCTCGTCGGCGAGGACGGCGACGGCCTCGACGTTCGTGACGCGCTCCGCGAGCGACCCGTCCGCGGCGGCGTTGGCCTTGGCCGCGGCGCGCACGTCCGCGAGCTCGCCGTCGCGCGCCGCCTTGGCCTGCGCCGTCGTCGCCTTGATGGCCTCGAACTGCTGCAGGACGTCGACGTCGCGGATGACGAGGACCTCGCGCGCCTCGAGGCGCGGCGCGACGAAGCGGCCGCTGCCCTCGCAGGTGCCGTCGTCGTGGACGGCGAATTTCAGGGACGAGTCGCTGCCGCGCACGGGGAAGAGCTGCGCCGCGGCAGGCGCCGCGGCGAGCGCAACGATTACCTTCCGCAAAACACCCATCGTCTACTGGATCGGCGGTGAGTGGTCCGCTTGAATGGGGCTGCCTCGGCGAGAGGAAAGTTACCGATGTTGATGATCGGCAAGGATTCATGCTGCACTTTTCACACACACACGGTCGATCTGGGGGCAGCCATATGAGCGGCGAGACGCGGCGGCGCCGGGAGCGGCGGGCGTGGGCGCTGCCCATCGTCGCGTCCGTCGTCGTCGCGGCGTCCGTCGTCGCCTGGCGCGGCGGCGCGATCGCGAAGCGCCGCACGGCGGCGCTCTCGACCCTGAGCCGGTCCGACGACGACGACGCGGCGGCGTCGAAGCACGGCAGCAAGCGCGACGGCGACGACGCGGGCGACGACGCGGCGGCGTCGAAGCACGGCGGCAGGCGCGACGGCGACGACGCGGGCGACGACGCCGCGACGAACACCGCGGACGACGACGCCGGCGCCGACGACGCCGCGGGCGTCGGCGGCGGCCCGGATCCCGAGGACCCGCCGCACCTCGTGCTCATCCTCGCGGACGACATGGGCTACAACGACATCGGCTACAACCGGGCGCCGCACCAGACGAACCAGGTGTCGACGCCCTTCCTGGACGAGCTCGCGTCCGAAGGGGTCACGCTCACGCGCTACTACACGCAGTGCGACTGCTCGCCGAGCCGCGGCGCGCTGCTGACGGGCCTCTACCCGGCGTCGACGGGCCTCTATCACGGCGTCATCGTCACCCAGAGCCACTGGGGTCTGCCCCTCGAGTACCACCTCATCCCCCAGTTCCTGCCGTCGCGGTACCGGAGCCACGCGATCGGCAAGTGGGACGTGGGCCACTACACGTGGAACCACGTGCCCACGGGCCGGGGCTTCCACTCCTACGTCGGTTTCTATGGGACGGACATCGATTATTACACGCACGAGATCGGCGCGGGCTGCAACTCCTACAACTGCAGCTCCGCGATCAAGCGGTGCATGAACGACAGCATCACGGACCTCAACTACGACGGCGCGGCCACGGGCGACGAGTACTACAACCGCTACTCCACGGACATCTTCACGGACCGCGCCGTCGAACTGCTGCGGACGGAGAGCGCGAGGAACCCCCTGTTCCTCTACGTCGCGTTCAACGCCGTGCACGGGCCCCTCGAGGCCGACGACGCGACGATCGACCGCTTCAACGCCAGCTTTTTATACGAGGCGCGCACGGAGCGCGCGACCTTCGCCGCGGCGGCGCTCCTCATGGACCGGGCCGTCGAGTCCATCGTCAAGACCATGCACGCGGTCGGCGCGTACGACAACTCGATCGTGCTCTTCGCGAGCGACAACGGCGCGACGCTCGCGCAGACGGGCGGCGGCTCGAACTGGCCCCTGCGGGGCTCGAAGTTCACGCCCTACGAGGGCGGCGTGCGCGTCCCCGCCTTTTTGCACTCGCCGCTCCTCGGGAGCGGCCGCCGCGGCATCACGCACGCGGGTTTATTCCACGTCACGGACATCCTGCCGACGCTCGTCCACGCCGCCGGCGGGTCGCCGCCGTCGGACATCGACGGCGTCAACCAGTACCACGCCCTCTTCGGCTCCGACGCCACGGCGTCGAGCCCGCGGGCCGACGTTCTCGTGCACGTCGACGTCTACGGCTACGAGACGGAGGCCATGGGCCTCGCGACGGGCGCCTACATCGAGGGCGACCTCAAGGTCGTCGTCAACGCCACGGAGGCGACGTGGTGCGCGCCGGACTCGGAGACGTACCGCTACGCGGACGAGTGCTGGGACCTGCCCGCGACGTACTGCGACAAGGTCGCGGAGAACAAGAGCGGCTACGCGGCCTACTTCCACAAGACGTACCTCTTCGACCTGAGCGTCGACCCGGAGGAGCAGCACGACCTCAAGGACGCCATGCCCGCCAAGTTCCGGAAGCTCTACGCGGCCTTCCAGGCCCACGTCGACGACCTCCACGCGATGGAGTACAAGAACACGTGCACGAAGAGCGACGACTGCGACGAGGTCTACATGCGCTGGATCGACAACGGCTGCGTCGTGAGCCCCTGGGGAGACACGTTCTAGTTCATGTTGGGAAACGGGGGCCGCGGCGCGGCGCCGCGCGCGACGTCGGCGGCGGCGGCGGCCGCGCCGCGCCGCGCTAGACGTCGACGGCGGCGGCGCCCGCGCCGCGCCGCTGCTCGAGGTCGTCCTCGATGGCGGCCGTCTCGAGCGCGGGCCGCACGAGCGTCACGCGGCGCTTGTGGCGGCCGTCGCCGAGGAGCGCCGCGAGCAGCGCGGGGTTGGCCGGGAAGTTGCCGTTGACGCCGACGACGCGGTCGCCGTCGCGGATCGTCGACGACCCGTAGGCGAGCTGGACCGTCGGCACGGTGTGCGCGGAGCAGCCGGCGACGACGAGCGACGCCGCGTAGCGCACGCGGCCGAAGTCGACGGGCTCGCCGGCGTAGCAGCGGAGGCCGAGCTTCGGCGTGACGCCGCGCCGCGCCTTCTCGGAGACCGTGATCTCGTAGCGGTGGCCGTCGGCGCAGGAGTGCGTCGCGCGGAACTTGGCCGACTCGTCCCGGCGCATGCGGCGCGCCGCCGGCGGCGCCGTGCGCAGCTGCTCGAGCGTCCGGACCGTCGCGGTCTCTTCTTTGACCGGGCTCCCGTCGGACTCCCCGTCGGACGCCGCGTCGGAGCCGGCCTCGGAGTCGTCGCGGGCGGCGGTCGCGCCGCCGGGCGCCGCGGGCCCGTCGGCGCGCGCGTCGCCGCGCCGGGCCCGGGCCTCGCGCGCGCGCGCCTCCCCGCGCTGCGCCTGCGCGTCCCGGAGGATGGCCTCGCGCCGCGCGTCGACCATCATCTTCTGCGACGAGTTGAAGGACACGGGGCCCGGCTCGTACATGCGCCCCGCGGCGAGGCGCGGGTCCGCCTGGCCCTTCTTGCCGTGCTCGCCGCCGTAGAGCTGGCGCAGCAGCGCGCGGCGCAGGTGCGTCGCGTCCTGGCGCGCGCCCGACGGCCCGGCCTCGTCGCCGCTCGACGCGCCCGTCGCGTCGCCGTCCGTCTCCGCGCCGTCGGCGGCCCGCGACCGCCCGAAGGCCCGGCGGAGCCGCGCGGCGACGCCGCCGCCGCCGGAGTCCGTGAGCTCCTGGGTCAGGCTCTTCCGCGCCGCGACGGACGCCGCGGCGCCCTGGAGCTTCGCGGCCGTCGCCGCGGCCTTGCCGCCGCGCGAGAGCGCGAAGGCGACGAGCCGGGCCTCGTTGTCGCCGTCGAACTCGAAGTCGCCGGACTCGGTGTTGCGCCAGCCCCGGACGCCCACGTGGCCGTAGAGGTCGCGGGTCTGCGCCGAGAAGTAGGAGATGAGCTCGGACGTGGGCATGGGCTCGGGCCGCGGCGCTTGGGCGTCGTCGCGGCGCCGCGGCCGGTCGACGCGGCGCCACCGGTCGCCGTCGAAGACGCAGCGCTGGAGCACGAAGCGCTCCTTGGACCGCGTGGCGCCGTCGGCGTCGAAGCGGCCCGCGAAGAAGTCGCCGTAGCTCAGGACGACGGTCTCGGACCACCACGCGGCGCCGCGGCGCTCGCCGCCCGGCGCGACGTGCTCGTAGACGACCTTGAGCGGCAGGTGCTGGGGCTTCGCCGCCGGCGGCAGCGGGGCCGGCAGGAGGCAGCCCGGCGGGAGGCGGCCCGGCAGGTGGCGGTCCCGCGCGGGCGGCCGGCCCGGGCCCCCGGCCGCGCCGGCGTCCGCGGGCCGCGCGCCGCCGTCGGCGCCCGTCCAGTCCGGGTCGAGGAGCGCGACCTGCTCCCAGCGGTCGAAGACGGAGCGGCCGACGCGGCCGTAGGCGCCCCGGGCGTCGAAGAAGAAGGCGTCCTCGGACTCGAGCTCGTCCAAAAGCCGCGAGAAGTTGCGGTAGAAGCGGTCGCAGCGGCTCTTGCCGTCGTCGGCGACGTCGACGGACGCGCCGTGGTCGAAGGCGACGTCGATGGACGACCGCCGGCCGCGGGCGTCCCGGAGCCAGAGGCTCAGGTGCTTCTCGGGCGCGAGCTGCGTGATGAGGTCTCTTAGGAACTCCGACGCGTAGCCCTGGGTGACGCGGTAGACGTCCTTGAGCCGGTGCTTCCGCGTGCGGCGGCCCACGGTCGTCGTGAGGAAGTGGCGCGACTTGTCGACGCGCAGCGCCGCGCGCGCCGTGCGCTTCTTCTCGTGGTCCCAGAGGAGCACGGCCTCTCCCTCCTTGGACGTCAGCGCCGCGCGGAAGTCCTCGAACGCGCGCCACTTCTTCGCCGCCGCCTCGGCGGCGACGGCGCGCGCCTTGAAGGCCGCGCGGCCCCGGTGCCGCCGCCAGGCGCGCTGGATCTTGTCGATCTCCCGCTCCATGATCGCCTGTGTGGAAATCAACCACTGGTTTGGGGGGTCCCCACCAAACTTCAGAACTCTCTAGCTCCGTCAAATCGATGTCGATTCGGCTGATTTTTGGACGAATCGATCGCTCTCGTCGAGTTCTCGAAGCACAGCGAAAGATTCTGGTCGAAACCGTTCGATTACGCTCACATTGAAGTCGGGTTGAAGATTTGGAATCCACACAGATGATCGCGAGGTCGCCCGCGACGAGCGCCTTCGCCGCGCGCCGCTTCGCGAGGAAGATGCGCACGCGCTTCAGCAGGAGCTCGGCCGCCCAGTACTCGTCCACGTCCATGTAGTTGGGCCGCAGCGACGCCGCGATGTTGTAGTTCGTCCAGTGGGCGCGCGCCGCGCCCGGGTCCTCGGCGGACGACGCGAAGTAGACGCCGCCGCCCTCGAACGTCGGCGCGAACTCCCCGCCGGCCGCGCCCTCGAAGAGCGCGGCGAGCTCGGCCTTGCGCGCCTGCTCGTCGCTCAGGGTGACCCGGGGGTTGTATTCTTTCTCGGGCGTGGAGAGATCGTCGTCGTCGACGTCGTCGGTGTCGCCGCAGAGCTTGAACATCCTCGTCGTCAAAGAGCGGGGGGGGTGGTCGGGGGCTTGATGCCGGGTCGAGGAGACGGTTTTGAGCCGTGCGACCGGACCCCACGCCGGTCGCCGTCGTCGGGGAGCGGGGACGACCTGGTAGAAACTCTCCACAAGCGAAATGCGTCGCATCAACACCACTTCACAACCTCTTCAAGCTAGGCAGCCTTTCGAGCCGCGCCGGACCGCCGGGCAGCACCTCGACGCGCTGCGCCGCGCCGCAGCGGCACGATGGTCGGCCGCTGGGGCTGCATCGTCGCGGCACTCGTCGCCATCGCAGCCGCGAAGCCGAATCGCGACTGCGAGTTCGACTGCCATGGAGGCAAGTGCGTCTACGAGGGCTGCGAGGACGTGACGTGCCGGGGAGGCGCCTGCGAGTTCCTCGCGTGCACGCGACCGACGTGCGACGGTGCGCGCGCGGCGCGCGCGGCGGCGGGGTTCGTACGCGGCGTCGAGGCCGACCGCTCGCAGGCGGCGCGTGCGTCTTTCGACGGAGCGTCGACCCGCAGTGCAAGGGCGGCGGGTCCCGGGCCGGCGTCCGGCGCGCCGACCGCGCCCCGCGTCGCGACGCGCGGCCGCGCAGGTGCCAGTTCTTCGACCAGGCGTCGACGCTCGGCCCGGGCTACTGCGACGGCGGCAACTGCGTCGTCCAGGGCCGCAAGTGGCCGTCGAAGCTGTCGAACATGCTCTCCTACTGAGCCGGCGCGTGTTCTAGAGGTCGCGGCGCGCGGCGCCCCTGAGTCCCAGGCCGCGTCGCGTCGCGTAGCTCTCGAGCATCTTAATACTCGCGTAGCCTCGCGCGCGCGCGGGCGCCGTCCCCGGCCCGGCCGCGCGGTCTCTTCTTTCTTGCGCGTCGTCAGGCCCGCCGCTCCCTAGGCGGCCTTGGCCTTCTCCGCGGCGGCCATGTCCTGGTACTTGACCTTGGCGCCGTCGGAGAGCTCCCGCCACTCCTCGCCGAGCTTCGTCATCACCGCGGTGTACTTGAAGCCGGGCCCGAGGGACGCCTTGAGCGTCTCGGTCAGGGCCGGCCGCCGCTCCTGGCAGAAGAGCATGTAGGCCGACAGGGGCCGCTTGGGCTTGGAGGCCTTCTTCTGCTTCGGCGTGAGGATGCCGGCCGCGGCGAGCGCGGCGTCGTAGCGCTCCTTGTCCGCGGCCGCGCGCGCCTTGTAGGAGTCGACGGTGGCCGCGTCGAGGGCGCGCCAGAGCTCGCCGAGCTTCGTCATGACCTTGGTCTGCTTGAACGCCGCGCCCTCGGCCGCCTTGACGGACGCGGTCACCGCCGCGCGCTCGTCGCCGCAGAAGTGCATGTAGGCGCTCAGCGCCGCCTTGATGGGCTCGCCTGCGGGGGCGCGCGCGTCGCCGCGGCGCGGCGCGGGGGCGGCGGCGGGCGCGACGAGGCGCGCGGCCTCGGAAGCGGCAACAGTCGCGGGAAATCTTGGCGCCGGCGCGCGCCGTTCGCGTCGACATACTTGGCGCGCAGCGCGCTATCCAATCGCGGGGCCGCGGGCGCGGTCGCGGGGCACGCCTGGAACGCGAGCGTCGTCGTCGCCGCCAAGGAAAGAGCCACGGCGAGTCGGAGCGCAGGCATCATGCTCTCGCCTTCTCTTCCGCGGCGAGCCGCTCGAGCGTGCACGGCGCCCCTCGTCTCGCCGCGGACGCCGTCCGGAGCCCGCGCTTCTCAAACCCGAGTCGCCCGCAGTCCGGCGCCACGCTCAACTTCAGTTTCACTCGGTTAGTCGGCGGAGAACTCTCGGCGGGTCGCGGCGCGGCGCCTAGTCCATGCGGCCCTTGAGCTGCTTGGACGTGACGCCCTGGGGCGTGAGGACGTGGACCGTCGCGCCCCAGCCGGAGAGCGCGTCGCGGTCGACGGAGGCGAGGAGGCACTGGGAGATGGTCTCGAAGAGCTCGTCGGGCCCCATGTCCGGGCGCCACATCGACTCGCACATGCCGTTGAGGTTGGGCGTGCAGGTGCCGCTGACGACGTAGTCGTCCGTGTAGACCGGCGCGCCGATGAGGTCCATGCCGCAGAGGAAGGGCGAGCCGTCGTCCTTCAGGCCCGCGACGACGGGCTCGACGAAGTACGGCCCGAACCGCTTCTCGTAGAGCATGTGCGACAGGAGCGCCGCGAAGGCCTCGGGTTTCATCACGCGCTCCTCCCGCAGCTCGTAGAGCGCGAGCCTGCGGGGCGGGGGGGCGTCGGGGGGGGAGGGCGCGCGCGCGGGGTCCGCGGAAGGGCGCGCGTCGCTTCGTCGAGCCCGTCGCGCTGGACGCCGGTTCGCGCTTGAATTTCAGCGTGTTCCGCAGCGTCTGCACGTCCGTCGCCAGGCCCGCGAGGCCGACGAAGAGCCGGTCGCTCTGCTTGAACACCTTTTGGAAATCGCAGGACACGGTCTGCTGGCTCAAACCAAAGCGCGTGTCGCTCGCGATGGCGACGCAGTTTTTGCCGGCCATACAGACGATCGCCGCGCCGTTGTGCTGGAGGATCGACATGGTGTCGGGGGCCGGGGTGCGACGCGCGCGGGCCTCTTCCTCGCGTCGACGCGGGCTCGCGGTCGCGGCGCGGCTCTACTACGGCTCGGACACTGGCTCCGCCAGCTCCGCCTTCGCAGGCCGGTCACGGACGGCTCGAGCTCGGGCGCGACGCGGCTCCTCGAGGACCTGAGGCCGGCCGCGCGCGGCTCGAGCCCGGAGTACTTCACGGCGCTGACGACGGAGGCGAGCCGCCTCTTCTTCCTCGCGACGACGTCGGACCTCGGCGACGCGCGGGGCTCGTCGCTCGAGGCGCCCGTCACGCGGCGGCTCTTCGAGTCGGACGGTACGCGCCACGGCACGCGCGTCTACGACCAGACCGAGGCGCTGTTCTACGTGGACGACGAGGTCTTGGACGCGGCCTGGCCCCGGTCCCTGGCGCCGCTGGGCGCCGCGCTCTACTACCCCGCGCGCCGCGGGTCCGGCGACGCGTCGAAGACCGAGCAGGGCACGCCGTGGTGCGGCACGCGCGGGTAGAGCCGCTCGACGTCGACCTCGCCGGCGACGGAGATGGGCCGCGGGATGCCCGCGACCTGGAGCGCGGGCGCCGCGGACAGCGTCGCGGACGCGGTGCCGTAGCCCGCCGCGTTGATGGGCAGGACCCGCACGTAGTACGTCGTACTCGTCGTGAGCTCGTCGCTGGTGTAGGACATGGCCACGGACGCGTCGACGTCGACGGTGCCCTTGTGGGGCGACGCGGAGAGCGAGTTGAAGCTCGACGACGTGTCCCAGTCGACGCGGTGCGACGACACGTCGTCGCCGCCGCCGTCGGCGGGGTACGCGTAGCCGATCGTGAACTTGGACTCGGACGTGATGCCGAGCTCCACGTCGCTGGGCGCGCCGCTCTCCTCGTAGGGCGCGGCGCTCGACGGCGCCGTCGACTGGGGCGTGCCGTAGCCCTTGCCGAGGCAGCCCAGCCCTCGGCGCCGATGTCGACGGCGCCAGCGAGCGTCGCGACGTCGTCGGCGCCCGCGGCGCCAGGCAAGTACCCGCGCAGCAGAGTATCCGAGGCCAACGAATCGGACCCGGCTGACCCGCGCGCAGGTTTCTTGAGCGGCTCATGGGCTGCTCGTACGATGCGAGCGATTCAACATTACTTTTTGCTTTGTTTAACAAAGACAGTAACGTTCATGCTTCCCCTGTCCAGAATGGCTGCCCGTCTTCTCGCAGAGACCTTGCACGTCGTGGACGTGCCGCGGCCGCCGCGGACTCGCGCGACCTTGGCGGCCGCCTTCGACGCGCCGCGGAAGATGCGCGCCTCGTCCGCGGCCGCGTGAAGCTGAACGTCGTGCCCGACGGGTCGAGCAGCGATGCAGCGATTCGACACGCTTCGACACCGTCGCGCCGCTTCGACGGCGGCTCGGCGGCTCCCAGCTCGCACCGGCGGCGCCCGGCGCGCGGTCGGTCGGCTCGGCGCGCGGTCGTCTCGCCGTCGAAATCGAGGCTCTCGATGCGACGATCCACCGGCGGCGCGCGGCGGCCGCCCGCGCCCACCGCGACGCCTCCTGCTCCCCGTCACCGACGTCGCCGAGGAGCACGACCGCATCATCGACAGCGGCGGCTTCGCCGGGCGGGGCGCCGTCAGCTCCGACATCGTGCCCTCTGCCCGCCGCCGGCGCGTCTTCCGCGCGCGCTCCTGGTCTACGCGCACCGCCGCGTCGACTGCATGTCCGTCATCGAGATCGACGTCGACGGCAATAGCAACGTTGGCACGCTGTCGGCGGCCTCCAGCGACGACACGATCGCGTGGTACGCGAACGTCGGGCCCCAGTCCGTCGCCGAGTGCGTCCGCGAAAGGCGCGTGCCGCCTTCGCGAGATCGAGTTCGTCTTCGCGATGCTGGACACGGCGACGTCGACGCGCTCTGGCTGTATGCTCTTGCGACGTGTCGCGACCGCGTGGTACCAGAGCGACGGCTCGCGGCTCCGGACGGAGCGCGTCAGCGCCGCGACGTCCGCGAACCGCGCGGTCGCCGCGCCACCTTGCTGGGACAACTTCCGTGGAGTGCGACGTCGCGATCGCCCAGGACTCCTAGCGAGCCCGCGCCTAAGAGTCGGCCTCGCCCTCGGAGTCGGGGGTGGCCGTGTCGCAGGTGTCGGAGTTGGCGTCCTCACAAATTCCACAGGGCAGCACCCAGGGCACTGATTTTTTGGCCACATTGCCTCAAAGCTCTCGGCGAGCATGGCCACAGGGCGTCGCCCGCGGAAGAAGCAGAGCCGCCAGAAGGGCACCTCTGACACTCATGAAGCGGCGTGGCAGTATCTGCTCGCGGGCGTCGGCGTCGGCGTGAATCATTTGACTCTCGACCTGAAAAATGGTCGAGAGATCATCGAAATGATTCACAATGACCCGGCGCTTCGGCGGCGCCTCTGCGACGAGAACCCGCGCTTCGCGCGCCTTCTCCAGCTCTCGCTCGAGAAGGGCGCGCGGGGCATGATCGCCATAGACCCGGAAGAGTAGGATCCAGAGTCCCGTCGCGGGCGTCGCGCGGCGTCGGGAGACGACGCGCCCGACGCGCCCCGCGATCGTAGGTACGGCGAGGTGGTCGACGCGGCCATGGGCGCCCTCTCCGACTACGTCGGGGCGCTCAAGTTCGCCAACGAGGCGGCCGTCCGGCGCGCCATCGCCTTCGTGAGCGCGCGCGGCGACGCGCCGGGCCTGCTCCGCGTCCTCGACGGCCACCTCAAGGACCGCGTCGCGGAGGAGATGCCCCCGTCCGCGGCCTCGTTCTGCCCCTACGCGGGCATGACGTGGGCCTCCGGGCCGTGGGCTAGGATGGTCGAGCACGAGGACGGCACGAGCGGGGCCACGCTCTTCGGCGAGGGCCTCGCGCTCGTCGCGGCGATGGCGGACGCGGAGATCACGCGCGTGCACGTCCGCGTCGCGGAGCCGAGCTCCAAGCTCGACGCGCTCTTGATCGCGCTACACCCGCGTCCCGCGCCCTCGCCCGCGTCCTACGCGCGCTCTTTTGGACCCTCGCGCGGTCCCGCGCCGCAGGAAGCGGCCATCGGAAGCGCGCTCGGCGTCGGCGAGGGGCACGGGTTTAACGAGGCCCACTGCGGGCCCTGGCGCTACGGCGACAACGTGCCCGCGTGGGTCTTCCTCGCCTGGCTGCTCAAGGTCGAGTACGGCGAGTGGCGCGTCGAGGACGCGAACTCCGGCGCACTTTTTGTCAACTTTTTTTGGTAACCTTCAACTTGACATCTATTTTAACGCAGGTGCTGCGCGATGAGGGGCTGCGCGCGAGCTCGCCGGAGGGCCTCGCGGTCCTCGCGCGGTACGTCGACGCGACGTTCCACCTCGAGAACCCGCGCATCGCCGACGCGGGCGGCGCGCGCGCCGTCACGGTTTCATGTCTGCAGAAGGAGCAGGCCAGCTTCGCCGGCAAGCTCGGCAACAAGGTCAAGTGGGACCTCACGAAGAAGCTGCGGGCGGCCCTGACGGCCGTGGACCTCGTGACCTGCCTGTGCGTGCTCGGCGTGGGCGGCGCCGGCGGCACGTCGTGGCGCTTTGCGCTGTCGAACGCGCTCTGCCAGGCCGTCGACCGCGTCGGCCGCGCCGACGACGCGGCCGCGCGGCGCGCGGTCGCGCAGGTCTACACCATCTTCGAGGTCATCTACGGCGCCGAGGACGTCGCGGCGGCGATGCCCGTGGGCACCTCGGTCGCCGCCGTCTACGCGGCGGCCAAAGAGGCCAGCGGCTACCTCGGCGCGGCGGAGCTCGCGGCGCGGCGCGAGGCGACGCGCGCGGAGCGCAAGGCGGCGCGCGCGGAGGCGGGGCTCGCGGCGCGCGCGGAGCTGAAGACGGAGGACGGCTGCGCGGCGGCCCTGGCGCGCGCGGAGCAGAAGAAGGCGACGGCGGCGCTCGTGACGGAGGACAAGTGCCGCGCCGAGGAGGCGGAGCGCGGCGCCCTGGACCTTGCGGCCGCGGAGCTCGAGGAGTCGGGGTGCGCCGCGCGCGACTCCGCGGCGGCGGCGTGGGCGCGGGAGGAAGCGGCCGTGGAGTCGGAGGCGAAGGTCGCGGCGCTGGAGGCGGCCCTCTGCCGCGCCAAGATCGAGCGGGACGAGGCCACGCGCGAGGCGCGCGAGGCCCGCGACGGCGCGGAGGCGGAGGCCGCGCGCGTGACGGCGGCGTTGAAGGAGAAGGAGCGCGTCAAGGCGCGCACCGCGGAGGCGGCGGAGGCGTCGGCGGAGGCGGCGGGCGCCCAGGCGGTCGCGTGCGCGGAGTTCTACTCCGTCGCGCGGAACGTCGCCCGCGCGCGGAACGTCCTGCGCGACGCCGAAGGCCTGCGGCCGCTGCAGCTTCCGAGAACAGGCGCTCAACTGGACGCTGTGGCGCGGCGGGCCTCGAAGGCGCAGCAGAAGGCCGCCGCGCTGAAGGACGCGTCCGCGGCGGACGTCGCGCGGCGCGCGGCCGCAGCGGACAAGTTCGACTGGCTCTACCGCGTCGACGAAAAAAAGACGTGCGGCTTCTTCGCCAAGTCCGGCGACGGCCTGTGGATTCCCTTTGCCACGAGCGCCGCGCTCGTCAAGGACGCGGCCTTCGTCGCGGCGGCGCCGTTCTTGGCAAACAAGGCCCCCGAGACAGCCTTGAGCAACGTGAGCAACGTTCTTAAGGGCCGCATGGAGGCGAAGGGCCCCGTCGAGCTCTGCTACTGGCCGCCGGAGGAGGCGACGGACGCGCTCATCGAGCTCGCCAACCGCGTGTTCCCGCGCAAGCCCACGAAGCGCCTCGCGGAGACCGCGGCGGCGGCTCCCGCGGCGGCGGCGCCGTCTTCGCCCGCGCGCTCGTCCTCGCAGGCGAACGTCGTCCGCTCCGATTCCGCGCGCAAGGCGAGGCGCTCGGGCCGGGGCCGCGGCGGCTAGGAGAGCGGGTGGCGCTCTCCGTAATCGAGGTGGAGCGGGTGGTGCTCTCCGTAACGCCCCTCTACGCGTAAGGACTGCAACGTCGATTCAACGTTAAAGGCTCGCTCAATCCTTGCCACACAAAGGGATCGAGGTGAACTCGAGCGCAATGGCTGTGTGGTAATTGAGCTGCGTGGCGCCGCCTAGCGACCTGCCAAACGATGCGCTGCCTACGCGCCAGCCTCCTCTACAACTACGTCTTCGCCGTCGACTACACGCACGACTGGCTGCTGGAGCGCGCAGCCTAGCGCAGCCAAAACCCATGCGCTGGCTGCACACCAGCCTCCTCTACTCCTGCGTCCTAGCTGTCGACTACACGCACGACTGGCCCCTCTACCGCGCGGCCTTTGGGAGCTGCAACAAGCAGGACAAGCCCCAGCCGCTGTGGCCGGTCATCGGCGCGGCGGCGCCGCAGCTGTGGCTGTGGACCGGCGACGCCGTCTACGCGCACGGCTCGGCGGCGGCCCTCGCGCGCGCCGTCGACCGCCAGCGGCGCAACGCGAACTACAGCGCGTTCGCGAAGGGCGTCGTCGTCGACGGCGCGTGGGACGACCACGACCTCGGCGTCAACGACGCCGGGCGCGGCGTCGCCGAGCTCGCGGCGCGGCGGCGCGCCTACGTCGAACTCTTCGACGACGCGGCGCGGCGCCGCGAGCGCGCCGAGGAGCGCCGCGGCGTCTACGGCTCGCGGCGCTTCGGCCCGCCGGGCCGCCGCGCGACCGTGCTCCTCCTCGACACGCGGTCCTTCCGCGACGACTACCTGCTGCCGTCGTGGAACGTCGGGTCCTGGTGCTTCGGCATCCCCGTCCTCGGGCGCCTCGCGCCGCTCGCGGCCGCGGCGCTCCGCCTCGTCTCGGGGCTGCTCGACCTGCCGCGGCGCGCGGACTTCGGCGGCGACGTCTTAGGCGAGGCCCAGTGGGCCTGGCTCGAGCGGGAGCTGCTGGACGCGCGCGACTCGTCCTTCGTCGTCGTCGCGTCGTCGGTCCAGGTGCTCACGTCGAACCCGACGTTCGAGTCGTGGGCGCACTTCCCGAAAGCGAAGCGGCGGCTGCTGGCGCTGCTCTACGCGACGAACGCGTCCGGCGTCGCGCTCCTCTCGGGCGACGTGCACCACGCGGAGGTCGCCGCGCCGGCGCCGGGGCCCGTCTGCGGCGACGTCGTCGAGGTCACGTCGTCGGGGCTCACGCACGCGATGAGCACGTCGGCCGTGACGAAGCTGCTCTTTCCGCCGCTCCTGCGCTACTTCCACGCGCACCGCCCGGAGCCCGGCGCCTACTACGCGGACCCGAACTTCGGCCGGCTCGACTTCGACTGGGAGGCGCGGACGATGACCGTGTCCGCGCGCGACGGCGACGGCGCGGCGGTCCTCGCCGCGGAGGTGCGCGCCTGCCGCGCGCGGCCGCCGGCGGCTCCGCGGCGCCCCGGGGGCGAGCTGTGACGTTGTTTTTAAAATCCGCGGGCGAGCTGTAACGCCGTTAAAACTAGATCTCATCGTCGTCGTCGCGCGGGTCCGCGTCGGGCCTCGCGTCGAGGCTCGCGTCGACCCAGTCCGTCGGCGCGTGGAACGGGTCGCCGGCGTCGCCGCCGTGGACGGCGGCGAAGGCCGCGGCGCACTTGGCCCGCGGCGACGCCGCCGCGAGCACGGCGGCCACGTCGCCGTCGCCGAGGCGGAGGTCGCCGCGCAGCGTCGCCGCGACGTCCGGATCCCAGCGGAACGGGCAGTCGTGGACCGCGCCCGGCGCGCCGTGCGGCTGGCCCCGCCGGGCGATCATGGTGGCGCATTTCGCCGGCGCGTAGGCCGTGAGGCCGCCCTCGAGGCCGTAGGCGTGGCGCACGCGGTAGGCCGCGTCCCTGGGCCTCCGCGGCAGCTCGGCCTCGAAGAGCGCGACGACGAGCTCGGGAGGCGCGCCCAGCGCCCGCAGGAAGCAGGTGTACTGGAAGCGCGCGTCGTGCTTGAGGTGGTGGGCGGCGCGGACCTCGCGCGTCATGCGCGCGAAGCACGGCGGGAGCCGCCCGGCGTCGCGCGCGGCGAAGACGTCCTCGGGCGCCGCGAGCCGCAGGCGCCCGCCGGACCGGCGGCGCCGCGCGGCGGCGGCGGCGGCGTCGAGGACGGCGGCGGCGACGCCCGTCTCGCGCTCGATGTCGTCGCTCGCGAACGCCGCCGCGCGCCGCAGCGCCGCGCCGAGCTTCCGTCGGAACCGCGCGACGGCGATCGCGCGCAGCGTCCGCGCGTCGCCGAAGACCGCGGCGCCCCGGACGAAGACGACCGCGCCGACGGCGCCGGCGCAGTCGCGGAGGAAGGACGCGTCGGCCCGGGCCTCGCGCCACGACGCCGCCCGCGGAAAGCGCCGCGAGAGGTACGCGCGCGCGGCCGCCGTCGCGGCGCGCGTCGACGGCGCCGCGTTCCCGGCGGCCGCGGCGGCGTCGAGGCGCGTCCGGCCCCGCGCGAGCCGCCGCCGGTAGCGCGCGGTCTCGCGGTCGAGGAAGAACCGGGCGACGGAGCGCCGCGCGCCGGCGACGGGCCCGCACGCGACCGCGAGGCGCGCGGCGAAGTGCGCGACGGCGTCGAGGCCGTCGCCGTCGTCGTCGTAGCGCGCGGCGACGGCGGCCTCGAGGTCGTCGCGCCGCACCTCCGCCGTCGGGCACCAGTCGTACTCCCAGGGCCCGTCGTCGTCGCTGTCCTCGTCGTCGGCCAGTTCTTCCGGCAGGTCCGGGAGCGAAGCTTCCTGTTTCAGCGCTTCGTGCTTCTCTGCGAGCGCCGCGTCGCCGATGGAGCGAGCGATGGACTGTAGGAAAGACGAGGGTTCCATCGAGCCGACGCTCGCGCTCGTCGGCGCGCTGTTCGCGGCGGTGGCGGACCGGTCCTTGCCTTGCCCGAGCGCTCCGGCGTCCGTGGTAAACTTTATCGAGGAGCTAAGACGACTGTTCCATCGAGCCGACGCTCGCGCTCGTCGGCGCGCTGTTCGCGGCGGTGGCGGACCGGTCCTTGCCTTGCCCGAGCGCTCCGGCGTCGTGGAAAAACTTTATCGAGGAGCTTCAAGGTGCAGCCTCATGGTGAATTGGGACCTACGCTGCCCCGTCAGGCGGAATACCATCGGCGCGGGCGCGATGGAGCTGAAGGAAGACGACAAGCTGAAGACCCCGCACGCCATCGAGGCGGCGGCGGAGGTCGAGGCGGCGCGACGAAGTTTCAAGAAGAAGGCGAACCGCAACTCCGTGATCAAGCGCCTCGAAGCAGCGTCGTCGTCCGGCGTCGACGCCGTGTCGCTCCTGCTCGTGCGCCGCCCGAAGGCGGTCATCTTCGGCGTCATCTTCCTCACCATCCTGGGCGTCGGCGTCACCGTGGCCTGCAACTTCTCGCTGTCGAAGCCGACGGAGTACGACTGGGAGGTGCCCGACGACAAGTTCACGCTGCTGCGCGACATGATCGAGGACGCGAGCGACGAGACGGACGAGGCCGCGGCGCTGCGCGTGCGCGGCGACGCGACCTTCCCCTTCTACTTCATGTACGACGCCGAGCCCAAGTTCCGCGACACGTGCGACGGCCCCGCGGGCATTTTGACGGCGCGGAACGTGCAGGCCATGTGCGAGGCCGAGCGCGTGTTCACGGGCCTGGACAAATACCAGGACTACTGCGTGTTGGACACGGCCGGAGCGTGCACGCCGCTGGCCTACAGCGTGCTCCGGGTCTTCTACGACGGCGACGGCGCGGCGCGCTGCCCGCTGCTGAACCAATCGGCCGTCGACGCGGGCTGGGCGACCATGCGGGACCACGAGGCGGCCTACCTCTTCTTCGTCGACGCGGGCGCCTTCGAGCGCGGGTTCCCCTGCCGCGCGCGGAGCATCGTCTACACGGGGAGCCCCTTGGCGGGGTACGAGAACCTCGCGAAGCGCAACGACAACCAGTACTGGCGCGCGGCGAACGAGCTCGGCGCGGAGGCCGAGGCGGACCTCTGGGACCACTACCACATGGAGGGCCACTTCCTCAAGTCGCCCTACGACGAGCGCGCGCGCGCGGGCGCGAGCGGCGAGAAGATGTCGGTGCTCTGGTTCTCGCCGCTCGTCGAGAGCTTCGAGTGGACGCGCCTGACGACGGAGGACTTCATGGTCGCCTTCGGGTCCGTGCTCTTCGTCTGGCTCTACATCTCGAAGCACACGGGGAGCTTATTCGTGGGCAGCATGGCCATGCTCCAGATCACGATGTCGCTGCCGCTGTCCCTGTTCTTTTATCGGTGCGTCTTCTGGATCCGCTACTTCTCGTCCATGCAGATGCTCGTCATCTTCGTCATCCTGGGCGTCGGCGCCGACGACGTCTTCGTCTTCAGCGACGCCTGGCACCAGGCCGCGCCCATCGCGGGCGACCGGCCGCCGGCGGGCGACGGCGCCGCGACGGAGGCGTACCTCCACCGGCGGCTCAAGTACGCCTACGTCCGCGCGCTCCAGAGCATGATGAACACGTCCTTCACGACGGCCGTGGCCTTCCTCGCCACGGGCGTCCACCCCGTCATGCCCATCTCGACGTTCGGCATCTACGCCGCGGTCTGCGTCTTGGTGAACTACGCCCTGGCGATGACGTTCACGCCGGCGATCCTCGTCGTCCAGGACCGCCTGGAGCAGGCCCGCTGGTGCTGCTGGGGCAAGGCGCGGTGCCGGAACGACGCGGCGGACGCGGACCCGGCGCGCCACGAGGGCGGCCGGGCCGTGGAGGCGTACCTGCGGGTCATGGAGGCCGGCGCGCCGCGGAAGCCCGTCGCCTGGGTCCTCGTGGCCGTGCTCGCGGCGTTGTCCGGCGCGGCGGCCTCCTTCGCGAGCCGCCTCGAGCCGCCCGCGAAGCCGGAGAAGTGGTTTCGGTCCACGCACATGTTCCAGCAGGCCTTCGACCTCAGCGACGGCGCCTACGGGACCAACGAGGACAGGTACTACCACGCGCTCCATTTCGTCTTCGGCATGGACACGCTCGTGCGGAGGAATTTCGATATCTACGTGCCCGAGCGGCGGCGGGGCCGCGTGCGCTACGCGGCGGGCTTCGACCTGTCGCCCGCGGCGTCGCAGGACGCGATTTTAGCGTCCTGCGACCTCGTCGAAAACTTCCCGTGCTCGTCGGGCGCCTGCGAGTTCGGGTTGTTGGCGCGGCCGAACACGACGCTCTGCTTCATGCGCGAGTTTCAGCGGTGGCACGGCGGCGCGTACGGCGCGTCGACCTACGGCCTCAACAAGACGACGTTCGACGCGCGGCTCCGCGTCTTCCGGGACACGACGGCCCCGGAGAACGCGGACCTCTACAGCTCCTGGTCCGACGTCATCGGCTACGTCGACGGCGAGCTGCGCTACGCGCGCGTCGACGCGCGCGTGTCCATGGACAACCTCGCGCCCGTCTCCGACAAGAAGGACTGCCTCGAGCGGTCGAACGCGCTGTTGAGCGACGTCCGCGCGCTCGCGCGGGGCGTCGACGGTTTGCCGAAGGTCTTCCAGTTCTCGCGGGCCTGGCTCTGGTTCGAGTCGGCGTCCCGCGGTCGACGACCGACGAGAGATTCGGGGTGAGAAATCGTCACCGGCATGCGTTGTAGGTATAAATGCCAGATCGCGCTCGTCCACGGGCTCCTGGTCGGCATCTCCATCGCGTTCCCCGTCGCGTTCGTCGTGCTCGCGGTGGCGACGCAGAACGTCGTGCTGGCGCTCTTCGCCATCACGTGCATCGGCTGCATCGTCGCGGGCGTGCTCGGGCTGTGCTTCCTCTGCGGGTGGTCCCTGGGCATCCGGGAGAGCGTCGCGGGCGTCATCGTCATCGGCCTCGCGGTCGACTACACGATCCACCTCGGGCACATGTACGACCACGGCCGCATCCACGAGAACCTGGCGACGCGCGAGGACCGGACGAAGTACGCCATGCGCAAGATGGGCCACACGGTCTTCGCGGGCGCGATCACGACGGCGGGCTCCGCGTCGCTCATGCTGCTGTGCCAGCTCACGTTCTTCGTGCAGATGGCGCTGCTCATCGTCTTCACCATCTCCTTCTCCATCTTCATGGCGCTGCTCTTCTTCGTGCCCCTGCTCTGGGCCTTCGGGCCCCAGGGCGACCAGGGCAACCTCCTCCACATCTGGACGTCGCTCCGCGCGCGGTGGGACCGCCGCGGCCCCGACGTCGGCTCGCTCTTCCTGCCGGACGACGAGCCCGACGACGACGCGGCCGAGTCCAAGGAGGACACGGCCGTCGTGCCGTCCGGGGACACGGCGCTCTAACGGACCTTTGCTGCTGGTTTAAAAGCCTGCAACCCGACTGCAAGGAGCCCATGCTGCCGCGCGCGTTCGGCGAGGATCCTAGGAGCCTCGTGCCTCCGGTCCTCCGCTTGCCTCTTGCGGGATGACGAGCCTGGAGCAGCCCGCGGCGCCCGCGAAGCACTCCGTGCTCATGATCGCCGAGGACCTGCCCTGCGGCGGGAAGACGCTCAAGGCGACGCTGCCCGCGGGCAAGGCCTGCGGCGCGTCGACGCTTTTGAAGCTCTTCGCGAAGCGCTTCGCGCTCGACTGGGCCGCGCTGGCCCTGCGCCCGCCCGAGGGCGCGCTGCTCCTGGCGGGGGACCGCGTCGTCTTCGGCGACGAGCTCTCCGTCTTCACGGTCGTCCTCGCGCCCGCGCCCGAGGCCGCGGAGCCCCTGAGCGCGCACGCGACCGTCGCCGTCTACGACGGCGCGGCGGGCGGCCGGGCGACGTTCCGCGTCGCGCGCTACCTGCGCTACGCCGCCGTCGCGCCGCACCACGCCGAGGGGCTGCAGGAGACGTTCGCCTTCGACGTCGCGGCCGCGGACGCGCAGACTCGGGAGCTCGCGGACGAGACGACGGCCGCGCTGAGCGCCGTCGTCGCCGCGATCCCGGCCGGGGCGCGCGTCGAGCTCGAGTGGGTCCAGCTCGCCATGCCCGGGCGGCCGCGGCGCGTCGTCCGCCAGGTGCAGAAGCTCGAGGCGCTGACCGAGGCCGCGGAGGCGGCGCTCGCGAAGCGGTACCCGGCGCCGCGGCTCATGATGCGCAAGGAGGAGGTCGCCAAGGGCGCCGTCTTCGAGCTCGAGGGCTGCACCTGCGCGGCGTGCGTCCCGCCGCCCGTCTGCGTGCCCTGCGCGCCGGATAACCTCATACGTTAGACGCCCTGCGCGCTCGCCGTCGGGCCCGTCGCCGCGTCCGCGGCGTACGTTCGCTCTCGGTGCGCGCCGAGGCAGGCGCGGCCGCAGTAGACGAAGTCGTACTTGCCGTAGTGCTCGCCGCGCTTCACCTCGAACGTCGCCCCGCAGAGCGTGCACCGCAGCGTGACCGTGTCCACCTTGGGCTTCTTCGGCTTCTTCGCCCAGGCGAGCGCCGGCGCCGCGGACCGGAAGCAGTCGGCCGGCGCCCGCGCCTCGTTCGCCGCGTGCGCGTAGCCGAACCCCCCAAAGGCCGCGAGCTGCGTGCGATGGCGGACGCCCGTGGCGACGCAGCAGCGCCGCGCGTCGAGCGCGGACGCGTCCGGGCTCGCCGCTCCCTCGAACGGCCGGCCGAAGCCGTCGACGAGCACGGCGTGGGTCCCGTCGCCGGCGGCGAGCAGGTCGGCCGCGAACTCGCCGCGGCGCAAGATGGTCCGGCAGCCCGCGCACGCCGCCAGCGCCGCGTCCGCGCGCCGCCGCGCGACCGCGCCGTCGCGACACGGCGGGAGGCTGACGACTAGCGGCGCGCCCGTCGACGCGGCGGCGGCGGCGGCGGCGCGGAGGTAGAAGGCGTCGAGGTCCGTCAGATCGACGGACGGCGCGCCGGCCGCGGCGCGAAACTCGGGCCGCACGGGCCCGACGAAGGCCGCGCGCGGCGCCGCGGGCGCGCCCGCGGAGAAATGGCGCGCCGCGTCGGGCCGCACGGCGACGCCGACGACGAGCTCCCGCTTGAGCGCGGCCGCCGCGTCGCGGTCGCCGTAGGGCTTCGCCGCCGCGGCCTCGACGTCCGCGCGCGCGAGCGACGCGCCAAAGGCCAGGAAGACGTCGTCGCCGAGGCGCGCCGCGCAGCGCACGAGGCCGTCCACGTCCCGGCCCTCGTCGACGGTGGTCGCCTCGCAGACGACGCAGGCGCCGCCGCCGAGGCGCGCCGCGGCGCTCGCGAGCTCGTCGAGCTCCCGCGCGGCCGCGTCCGCGCTGTCGAGCACGAGGTTCTCGCCGCTGCAGAGCGGGTCCAGGCGGATCGCGCCGAGGTGCTCCATCGCGACGCGCACGTCGCCGGGCGCGCGCGCGGCCACCGGCCCGTTGCACGGGAAGCGGGCGGCGTCCCAGTCCAAGGGCGCGTCGCGGAGGTCGCAGAGCACGTGGTCGAAGCAGACGAGCGACACGCGCGCCGCGTCCGCTGCCTCTATCGGCGGCCTGGCGACGACGTTGATCATGACTCCGACGATTTTACCACAAGCTTAGTCCATCGGCCCGAGGTAATCACATTCAACATCAACTACGATCTTCACGAGCGGTTGGGCAGCATACAAACTCATCTTACAAACTCCGATCGGTTGCGGACTCGGTCGTCGTCGACGCCCCACTCATTTTTTTCGCACCATGCTCCGGCTCCTCGCGCTCGTCGCTGCCGCGTCGTCGGCGGACGTGCGGTCGAAGATGATCATCGAGAACACGGGCGACGAGGACTTGGCCATGTACTACATGGGGTCCATCAACGACGGCGACATGTCCATGTGGGACGGCAGCGAGCACTTCAACGCCATCATCGAGCCCGGGTCCAAGGCCGCCCGCTACGTGAGCTTCAACGACTCCTTCGCCCTGCGCTCCGGCGACATGAAGTGGCGCAACCGGCTGTCGCTCTACCAGAACGAGGACGAGCACCCGTACAAGATCAGCTTCCACAACGTCATGGTCGACGAGGAGCAGCAGCCCGTGGAGCTCAAGCACCACGACGAGGGCTACATCTGGATCGACCCGAACCACCACGTGACCCACAGCGCGGTCGGCGGCCACACGTTCTACATGCGCGACAAGCAGAGCAAGGACCGGTTCTCCGTGTCCATCCACGAGCTCGACGCCCAGGAGCTCGGCGAGCTCTAGGCGCCGGCGGACGTAACCGGTGTTAGGAGCCGGCGGACGTAGCCAGGTTAGGCCGCGCAGAGCCACGCGTCGAGGCCCGCGACGGTCGCCGTCGTTTCCGGCGCGTCCGCGCGCGCCAACGCCGCGGCGAGCTTCGCGTACGTCGCGAGGGCCTCCTCCGTGCCGGGCCCGCCCAACACGCGGAGCGCCGCGGCGACGGGGTCCGCGTCCTCGACGACCGCCTCCGGCGCGGGCGCGGGCGCCGAAGCCTCCTCCGGGGGCGGCGCGTCGTCTTCCGGCGCCGCGAGCTCGTCCGCGAGGTCCGGCCGGCAGAGCGCGGCGACGGCGCGCGCGGCGAGCTCGTCGAGCGTCGCGTGCTCCTCGCTGCTCAGCGGCGGCCGCTCGCTCTCCGGCGCCTCGCGGCGCGCGCCCGCGACGGCCGCCATCTGCGCCGCGGCCTTGGAGAACTGCGCGGCGCGCGCGCCGCCGCCGGGCCCCGCGCCGCCCGCGCGCGGCGACGACCCGCCGCCGCCGGCCCCGGGCCCGCCGCCGGCGCCGCCGCCGCCGCCGCCCCGGGGGTCGCCGCGCGGCGGCGCGGGCGCCTCCGGCGGCGGCGGGCCCGGGCCGCCGCGCCGCGGCGCCGCGGCGCGCGGCGACGGCGGATATCTCAGGAGCAGGCGCGCGAAGGTCGCGTCCATGCGGCCCGCGACCTCCTGCATGAGCGCCAGGTCTCCCGCGGCGTCCGGGCCCTTGACCTCCGCCGCCGCCGGGTCCGGCGCCGCGTCCCCGGCGTTGCTTTCGTCGTCGTCGTCGTCGTCTTCGTCGTCGTCCTCGTCCTCGCTGCCGCTCTCTTCATCTTCTTCCTCGCTGCCGCTGCCGCTCTCCTCGTCGAGGCTGCTCTCATCCGCGTCGGACATGGTTCGCCTTCTGGGGCTGCCTGCGGTCCGGCGTGCTGTGCGTGCCCGTCTACCCGCCCGACCCGTCGAAGATGCAAAAGGCCGTCGACAAGATGGACGTCGTCCGGGCGGCGTGCGGCGCGAGGGTCTGCCACCACGACACCGCCGTAAAACCGAACGCTGCCCGGTTTTTGCGCGCTTGCCGAACCTCAACCAAATGGATTGTTGAAGCGAATGGCATCGATGCGAGGCTCCTCGCTTCGACGCGCTCGCTGCTGATCAATTTCGCGTCTGCGTGCACGCTAAGCCCCCGCGGCCCTCTCTGGTGACCCCCGACGCCCCCGGGCCCCCGCCGACGTCCTCCGCGCGCCCATGGCTCTGCCGCCGCCGCTCGAGGCCCCCGGCGAGCTGCCCGTGTCGCCGGGGTCGCCGCGGCCGAGCTCCCCCCGCGCGGCGACCATGTTCGACGGCCTCGTGGCCGTGGACGACGCCTGCGACGACGGGTCGGCCTACGCCGTCGGCGAGGGCGTGCTCGCCCTGAACGAGGGCGTCTGGTACCCGTCCACGATCGCGGCGGTGTCGTCGCGGTCCCGCAAGCGCGTCGCCGTGCCCATCTACAAGGTGCACTACGACGGCTGGGCGCCGCGCTGGGACGAGTGGGTCGAGCTCGGCGACGGCAAGGTGCGGCGGCGCACGGCCGCGCACCTCGAGGCCGCGCGCGAGAGCCTGCGCGTCGCGGAGGCCGAGGAGGCCGAGGAGCGCGCCGCGAAGCGGCGCAAGTCCGAGGAGGCGAAGCGCCGGAGCAGCGGCGGCGCCAAGGGCGCCGGGAGCCGCGTGTCCCACCCGCCCTACGCCGAGCTCGTGTCGCGCGCGCTCTACGAGCTCCGGGACAAGGGCGGCGCGTCGCCCGCGGCCGTCGCCAAGTGGGTGCTGGCCAACTACCCCGTGCACGAGACCAAGTACAAGTCGAGCGTCGCGGCGGCGCTGAAGGGCCTCGTGGCCGCGGGCAAGCTCGTCAAGGTCAAGAACTCCTACAAGTTCACGGCCAAGGAGCAGCGGCTAAGGGAGGCGAAAGCTACCGGCCTTCCCGTGCTCCCGCCGCCGCGCAAGGAGCGCGAGCTGGCCGTCGACGACCTCGTGCTCGAGGAGCAGTTAAGGAGTCAGGGCATCGCCATCCCGAAGCGGCCCGAGCCGACGGCGCTGGAGCTCGTCTGCCCCGGCGAGTGCGCCGCGGACCTCTTCGCCGTCGCCGAGTTCTGCCGCCAGTTCGACGGCATTTTGTTCGGCCCGTCGCGGGGGTCGCGGGTGTTGGGCGTCTCGGAGCTCGACGCCGCTTTAGGCTGCCTCCCGGGCGCCGAGACGCCGCCGCTGCTCGAGCGCCTCGCGCTCTGCCTGCTCCGCGTCGTCTGCGGCCGCGACCCGGCGTCGGGCGCGCCGGACGCGGCCTTCGCTTTGGAGGCGGAGCAGCTCCTCTTCGTGGGCCACGCCCAGAACCGGCGCATCTGGGGCCACGTGCTCAACGCGCTGACCTGGCCCGACGTGCTCCGGCGGCACCTCGGCGCCGAGCGCCGCTACCGCCGGCGCCTCGCGGACGCGTACCCGTCGGCGCTCGGCAGGCCCGCGCGGCCCGCGTGGGTCCACCCGTCGGTCCTCGAGGCCGACGCGGCCAAACAGGCGCGGGACGAGGCCGAACGGCGGCGCGTCGCCGACGAGGCGGCGAAGAAGGCGCGGGACGAGGCCGAGGCCGCGGCGGCGGCCGCGCGGCGCCGCGCGGACGACGACCGCCGCGCGGCGGAGCAGGCCGCGCTCCAGCGCCAGCAGGCCGCCGCGGCCCAGGCCGCGCTCGCGCTCAACGGCGGGTTGCTGCCGCCGATGACCGTCTACCCGCCGGGCTTCCCGGGCCAGCCCTTCGCCATGCTCGCGCCGGGCCAGCCCTTCGCGCCCGCGGGCGCGTTCGTGGGCTACGCGGCCGCCGCGGCGCCGCCGCCGCCGGCGCCCCTCGCGCCGCGGCCGCCGAGCGCGCGCGAAAAGAAGCCGACGCCCAAGTCCGAGCCCAAGCCCAAGCGCAAGCGGTCCGGCGAGGGCGGCGCGCCCCGGAAGCGCGCGTCGTCCGCCGTCGGGCCCGTCATCGAGGCGCCGCCGCCGCCCGCGGAGGGGCCCGAGCCGCCGCGCCACCCCTTCGACGGCGCGGTCGACGGCGACCCGGCGGTCCTCGGCGAGGCGCTCTACGCCTTCTGCGAGGAGCGCACGGCCTTTTGCGCGCTCAAGCCGGCCCACGCCGTCGCGCTGCTCAAGCACCTCGTCGACGACGCCGTCGCGACGCCGGCCTTGCAGCACGCGCTCCAGGAGAGCGCGCTGCTCCTCGACCACCTGGGCAAGGAGGCCAAGGCGACGTTGGCCGCGCGGCGCAAGGCCGAGCGGGCCTTGGCGGAGGCCGAGGACGAGGACGAGTGCGCCGCGCTCCAGCGCGAGCTCGCCGCCGCCAAGGCCGCGTCCGAGGCGGCGGCCAAGGCCTTAGCGGACGCCGAGGCGTCGCGGTCGCTCCGCCGCGACGCGCTCGGCGACGACCGGCGCTGGGCGCGCCACTGGGCGCTGGACTGCGACGACGCGGGCCTCGGCGGGCCGCCGCGGGCGCGCCTCGTCGTGCGGCTCCACGGCGGGGACCCGCGCGCGGCGGCCGGCGGGCCCGACCTCTGGCGCGTCTTCGACAGGGCCGAGCCCGTGGCCAAGGCGCTCAACGACCGCGGCGCGCGCGAGGGCCCCCTCGCCGACGCGCTCCGGAAGCGCGCCGAGGCCCTGGAGGCGGCGCCGCGGCCGCCGCCGCCGGAGGACGCGCCGCGGGACGCGCGGCTCGCGCTCGCGCTCGAGCGGCCGCCCGCGGCGGAGTCGCGCGCCGCGCGGCTGCCCTGGCCCGGCGGCGACGTCGACGACGGCGCGCCGCGGCGGAGCTCGCGCATCATGAACGTCGCGACGACGTCGTCGACGCCGCTGAAGAAGGAGCGCACGGACTTTGACGCCGTCGAGAAGCGCGCGCTCCGGGCCGTCGAGGCCGCGGCGCCCTGGAAGTGCGACCTCGACGACCTGGGCGACGCCTGCCGCCAGTACGCGGCGGAGCTCGCGGACCTGACCGTGCGCGTCGCGGCCATCGCCGCGGGGTCGCTGCCGCCGGACGACGAGGCGCCGCGGTCCGAAAACGATCCGGCGCTCCGGGACCTCGCGGACGCCGCGCTCGACGCGGAGCAGCGGCTCTACGACTTCATCCACCACGGCCGCGAGGCCGCCTTCGAGAAGGAGGCCAAGGAGGCGCCCGAGGCGCCGCCCGGCGACAACGACGCGCTGCCCGTGTCCGAGCTCGTCGAGGTCGACGTCGTCAGCGAGCGCGACTACTACGAGCTCGTCGGCGCCTGCAGCGACTTCTCCGGGTCCAGCGACGTGGGCTCGCACCGCGCCCTCTGGCGCGGGACCATGGCGTCGGTGGCGGCGGGCACGCCGGCCACGGAGTCCGCGGACCGGCGGACGTTCGCGACGTTGTACCTCGGCCTCAAGGAGCAGGTCGCGCGCCACCTCGGGCCGCTCGAGGCCCGCGTCGCCGCGGCGTCGCGCCTGCTCCTCGGCGACGACGACGAGATGGGCGGCGACGAGGCCGGCGGCAAGCAGCCGGCGACGTCCGCGGTCTTCGTGCCGTCGCGGCCGACGGCGAACATCGTCTGGGCGCGGATCCGGGGCTACCCCTGGTGGCCCGCGCGCCTCCACGAGGCGACGGCGCCCAAGTTCCAGGAGGCCCTCGAGCGCAAGAAGCAGTCCCTCGTCGTCTTCGTCGGCGACTCGATCCAGTACTTCCTCTCGCCCGCGTCCGTCGCGCCCTTCACGGGCGCGCCCGACGACCCCAAGCTCCCCAAGCAGGGCAAGGCGACGTCCAAGGGCCTCCCCGACGCCATCCGCGTCGCCCGCGCGGCCCTCGTCGCCGCGGGCCTCGCGCCCGCGAACGGCGCCGCGCCGTCGCCCGCGGCGTCGCCGTCGCCCGCGAACGGCCACGCGACCTCGACGCCGCCCAACTAGGGCGCCTGCATCGCGGCCGCGTAAGGCAGCGAACCTCTCCCGCGCCCCGAACTAGGAGCTCCGAATCGCGGTCGTGTAAGGGCGAGCGAACTTCTCCCGCCGGCGTCTTCAGCCCTGCTTCATCTGGATGGCCTCGCCGTGGACCTTGGCCTCCTCGAGCGTCAGGTCCTTCTGGGGCCAGAGCTGGCGCGGCGGGAAGCCGCAGCGGAGGTCGAAGAGGCCCGTGGTCTGCGACGCCTCCGCCGCGAATTTGAAGAGCGCGGCGACGGTGTCCGAGGGCTCGAAGCGGCGCTTCTTCGCGCCGTTGGGGAGGCGGAACTGGACCATGACGCCGCCGGCCGCGGGCTCGGGCGAGAGGACGGCGTCGGCCCAGGGCGCGGGGCCCGCGGGCGCCGCGGGCGGCGCCGCGGCGGCCGCGAGCGCCGCGGCCGCCGCGGCCGGAGGCGGCGCGGCGAAGGCGGAGCCCGCGCCGCCGCCGAGGACCGCGCCGCCGGCGAAGGGCGGCGGCGGCGCGGGCGGCGGCGCGGGCGCGAGGGGCGGGCTGCGGCGGCTCGGGTCGACGGGCGCGACGGGCTGCGCCTCGAGGTCGTGGCGCTCGACGACGTCGCTGAGGAGCTCGATGAGCCG